CCGAAACACAGGGCCAACTTAAGGCAATGCTTCTGGGATACAAGTCTTACTGAAGATTGACTGTCTGAAAGTTGGATATCCGAAACACAGGGCCAACTGAAGGCAATGCTTCTGGGATACAAGTCTTACTGAAGATTGTCTGAAAGTTGGATATCCGAAACACAGGGCCAACTGAAGGCAATGCTTGGGATATTAGCTTTCTGGGACTAACCTCTTTAGAACAAGTCTTACTGAAATTTGACTTCAGCTGAAAGACCAGCGTTCTTAAAGAAGACGTATATCCGAAACACAGGGCCAACTTAAGGCAATGTTTCGGATAATGGCTCTCTGGGATACAAGGCTCAGTTAAGGCAATATCCCAGGATTGTCCATGGACTCATGTCTTTGGAGAACAGGTCTTACTGATGTTTGATTTCAGCTGAAAGACCAGTGTTCTTTAAAAAGACTGAGTTTTGTAAGCCATCTGAAACCCAGTTACCCGAAGGCGAAGGTTTCAGACGAGGCTGATTTAAAAAGGCTGTTATCCTTGATTTTTTGTCTATCTTTGAAAAATGGATACCCGAAACACAGGGCCAACTTAAGGCAATGTTTCGGATAATGGCTCTCTGGGATACAAGGCTCAGTTAAGGCAATATCCCAGAATTGTCCATGGACTCATGTCTTTGGAGAACAAGTCTTACTGAAGTTTGACTTCAGCTGAAAGACCAGTGTTCTTTAAAAAGACTGAGTTTTGTAAGCCATCTGAAACCCAGTTACCCGAAGGCGAAGGTTTCAGACGAGGCTGATTTAAAAATTTTCAACTGTTGCTGTTATCCTTGATTTTCTGGCTATCTTTGAAAAATGGATACCCGAAACACAGGGCCAACTTAAGGCAATGTTTCGGATAATGGCTCTCTGGGATACAAGGCTCAGTTAAGGCAATATCCCAGAATTGTCCATGGACTCATGTCTTTGGAGAACAAGTCTTACTGAAGTTTGACTTCAGCTGAAAGACCGGTGTTCTTTAAAAAGACAGGTTTTGTCAGCAATCTGAAACCCAGTTACCCGAAGGCGAAGGCTTCAGACGAGGCTGAATAAAAAACCCTCAAAGAGTAGATAGAACAAAGAAAATTTTGAAAGGAAAAACAGTTGTAAATTTTATATAAATGGCGGCTCCAAGGCCTGTCATTAGTTCAAAATGTACTTACAAAGATTGTTCTGCCCCGAAGGGTTTACACATGGTATTTTTTCAGTACATCAGCATTCCAGTGATTCTTCAACTCAGTTCCATCCAACTGCCGAAGTCGGTATGTCCCTGGCTGAAGCTCATCATAAATTTCATAAGGTCCCTCCCATGTAGCTGAGAGCTTCCCATGGATTCGGCCTTTCTGAACTGCAGCAGCATTCCGAAGGACAAGATCCCCAATTTTGAGAGGCCTTGCATGGACCCTTCAGTTATGGGAGATGAGGTCTGAACTTATCCCGGGCATATCAGCTGCCGAGAAAGCAAACACATCTCTGTTATCCCGCAGGAGCTGAATAAGTTCACAACGGGTGTTAGGATCAAGGTCCATCCCGATTGTTACACATTTCTCAGCATCTCCTTCGGCTAACTCAACTGTTTCAGTCTGTTGGTCCATGTCCATTGCCGATGGACTGGACTCTTCAGAATCTGGTCTGCTGCCAATGTCAGCAGGTGTCCCAGTCTTTGTGTTCTTCGGCTGGCTCTCTGAGTCTTTCGGCTCAGATGAAGAGTCAACCTTTTCCCTTTCGGGACCTTTTTCCCTGGGCACTGATCCTTGGGCCGAAGCACTTAGGCCTTTCGGCTTTTTTGTGCTTGGCTCTCTTTCTTTTTCTTTCTCCTCCTCATCCTTGTCGTCATCTGGGCGACTACTGGATGGCTTGAGGTAGTTGCACCTTCGGGCGTCCTTTTGGTTGCCCTGTATCCTTTCGGGGAAGCCGGCGTCTGAGACATAAATCATCAGCTGATGATAAGTTGAGACGACCCCTTGGATCTCGTGAATTATGGGTCTCCCCAAAATCACGTTGTACACTGAAGGAGCGTCGATGACCAAAAACTCAATCATGACGTTCCGGGCTGCCTCATCGCAACCGATGGTGACAGGAAGTGTCACCTTCCCATCTGGATAAGTTGAAGCCCCATTGAACCCGGATACCGGATAGGGTACCGGCGTAAGGTGCTTGGGCTTCAGCTTAATTTGGTTGTAGGCCTTTCGGAACAGAATGTTTGCTCCGCTGCCGCCGTCAACAAGGACCTTACTGACGTCGTGGTTGGCCACCGTGGCGATGATCACCAACGGATCCTCGTGAGGGAACGTAATCCCCCGGCAGTCGGCGGCTGTGAACGTCATGTTCGGCACCGGCGACTGGGGAGATTGAATGTCAGCGTTGTTCACCTGGTGAGTCAAAGCTCTAAGGTGACGCTTGTGCTCCCTCCGAGAGTATATTCCTCCCGAGATAACATTGATCGGAGGGAATTTCCCCTCCGGTTTTTTACTGTTTTTCCGGGGGAAATCAAGGTCCTGCCGAGGGTCCTTTGCTAACCTTTCGGATTCTTTTTTCTCGCGGTGATCCGCGATGTATTTTTTCAAGTATCCCTTCCGGACCATGTCTTCTATCTGGTCCTTCAGCTGGATACACTCTTCAGTGTTGTGGCCCGAAGACTCGTGGAACTCACACCACTGATTTTTATTTTTTCGCTGATACCACTCTGGGAGTGGTCTCGGCTTTCGGTAACTCTGCTCCTCCTTCGTCACACTGTAAATTTTGGCGCGTGGAAGAGAGAGCGGAGTGTAGGACTCGTATCTGCCTGTGTATGAGGCAAACCTGTCCTTCTTTAGGTCGCTGGCCGAAGATGGCTCCGAGGCCTTTGATTTTCCCTTTGCCTTATGGCCTTGGCCTTCAGACAAGGGTATTTGCCTCTGTTTCCCTCCCCCGGATTGAGGTTGGGTTTTTGCTTTATTCCATTCTTCGGCTCGGATGAACTTATCCGAAGCACTAAGAGCTTCCTCCAAGGTCTGCGGGGTATGCATGACCATGAAGTCTAGGAATTTTCCTGGCTGAAGGCCATTCTGCATTGCAAAAACAGCTAGCCCCTGGTCCAGCTGAGAGACGCTTGATGACTCGTTACTGAAACGGGTCAGGTAGTCTCGGAGGCTTTCGGTTTCCCCCTGTTGCAGACCCATGAGCTCTGCGGTAGTCTTTTCTCGGCGGTTTGCCGTGGAAAACTTGCTCCTGAACTTGGAGGACAGATCATCCCAACCTGTTATGGAGCCTTGCCTTACTCCCTTGGAGATCCACGCTTGCGCGACCCCCTTGAGAGTGGTTGGGAAATATTTGCACCAAGTTGCCTCGGATCTGGGGCAAAGATGCATATGAGCCTCATACGAGGCCACGTGGTCCTTCGGATCCGTGGTCCCGTCATATGTGATATGCGACGGTATTTTAACCGTGGGTACGCGCTCTTCTAGTATCCATTGCTCGAATGGTGAACTAGCGGGAAGCATAATGGCCTTGCCCTTGTTCCTGGCCGAAGGGACCGCGCTCCGCCCTCTCAGAGAGGTAGGAGTGGTTTTCGTCCCTGGCTGGGAAGTCTGGGCCTCGGCTGCAGGGAACGTGAGGCGACTACGCACGCTCGGTTCCTGGCCGCCGAGTCGGTCAAGGACGCTTCTGCGAGCAGTCTCAGGTTCCCGGCGAGTAGATTCTGGCCGAGAAGCTGAGCTGCTGCTCTTATGCGCTGCTGGTCTTGAGGATGAGGATCCTTTAAATAATTGAGAGTTCTTCTTCCTCTGTTTTTCATTTTTCCAAGAATCCTCCTCCCACTCTTCCAGTTCCCGGAAGGAAGGAAGCTTCCCACCGTCATGGTCTAACTTCCTCCGCTGATGCCGGGTATGCGGAGGAGTTCGATCACGAGGCGGTGGCATATTCTGTGCCCTCATTGCCTCCATGAGTACTGCCAGCGCTCTTGCCACCTCTTCCGAACTGGGCCCCGTCAAAGGGGTCTCCGGCCGAGTGTGGGCATGAGGCCGTGCAGCCGATGGTTGGCTTCGGGACACTGAATATGTCCTATGATCAGACTGACCCCTGCTAGACCGAGAGTGGTCCGGCCTATATTGAGAGTCATGCATTATAGGAGATAGGGAATCCTCCTTGTGTGATCCTCCCCCCGAGCCGGCACCCTTGGGAGAGTTCCGGTCCGGCGAGGGCGATGGTGTAGGGGTTTTAGGCTTTTCGCCCGCTCCTTGACGGAGGCTTTTGCTCTTGCGGTTCTTAGCCATGGCTGCTAAGACAATTGCAAGATGATCTTGGTTAGGAATTTGGCTTAAAGATTTTTGAAAGTCTTCCCCACAGACGGCGCCAAATTGTTTCGGTTGAAAACAATGGGACCTTGCCGAAGGTCCACTAAAATGGAGAAGACTGGATTCGATCCAAGCTGTGTTGGGCCGAAGGTTTCCTGCACAGTGAACACACGTAAACTAGCCTCGGGGGTGTTTCCGAGGAAGGCCCCTCCGATGCTAAAGTCAGTACAATGTGTAAAAAGGAAGACACTATGCAAGAGAGTTTGTAGCTTGAGGCTTTTGTGGAGTATTTCTCAATGCAAGAATGAGCATATGAGTTGGAATAATCCGTGTATGAGATAATGTATGTGATGATGCATGTGTTGTTGTGTCTCGTATGTGATGTTATGAGATGTCTTATGTAAGAATATGACTCTCTCCTTGAATGTGTTAATATGAGGGCTTTTATACCTCATCATATTTGGAGAGGTTGGGCTTTAGCCCAATTGGCTTACTTTGTGGGCTGACTTTTGACTTTTGAGCAATTGGAGAGTTGAACCTTGACCTTGGGCTTTTAATTGGATCATTTAGTGCTCAGGCCCAATTTTGACTAAATTGGACCCAAACACATATAGTTCGTTCCACACGTACATGTGTGATAAACTTAATTATACGGGGCTATCTCATGTACTAATATAAATGGTTTGCTATTTGCCTATGCAGTGCATTGATTCAGTAGAAGAATCATTTATCCTGGAATCCAAATGCAATGTATCAACACCCGATAAGTGGTGTCGGGTATTGCTTAACTCCCCTCTTTTGTTCACAATTTTTTGGAGTTGAAAGGGTTATAATTTAAGTACTTCATTTTTTTTTCTTTTTTTTTTTTTTTTTTTTTTTGGTAAGACAATTTTGTTCAAAATGGAAAAGTTACTGGAGACGGAAAGAGTAGACTTTGTGTGATCTATAACAAATTTTGAATTTGTAGGTGTGTGTGTTTTTTTATGGTGCAGGTATACTATCGTAATTACATGTCTCAATCATGGGCAAATGACATTAATGTCCAAGCAGCTTTTCATGTTCGGGAGGTATGTAGTGGATTCATAAATGGATATTTTGTGAGAAACTACCTTTTAAAGCATTTTTTTTTTGCGAGAAACTATCTTATAAACCAACAACTTTATTAATCATTTAGTTTTTATAAGGTAGTTTTTTACAACATTTAGTTTTTATAAGGTAGTTTTTTACAACTTTTTTTTTGCGAGAAATTATCTTATAAAAAAACCAACAACTTTATTAAATTGTAAAGCCCACAATAATGAAAAAGTTTTTGATTTATTTACGAAAATACCCCCATGAAAAACAAATTTCGTTTCTCACTATGAGAAAAGGGAATTTTCCTTTTTTTTTTCTAAAGGAGACCTGTACAAAGTATTATATATCTAACTAAGATTTTGTTATTAGTGTTTAACATTTTATGAAAACTATGTTTATTTGCTATTGATATTTTTATAGGTGAAAAAGTAGATTTAGGGCCTAATGATGAAGATTAGTTCTTTCTATTATTAGCTAGATGTTGTTATCGTGTTGCCTGTTTTGCAATCTAATATTGACATTGTATTTAGGGAACGATTAACGAATGGTTTCGCTGCCGCGGTCGTCGCAGCGATGATAAGTTGAAGTACAATATTGATGTTGATGCTGATAGTGCCATCAATTATTATCAATATCTTACCACCAAGCCTCTCAGGGCACTAATCTTCAGGTAATATATACTTTGTATATATTCTCTATTTGTAGATTGTACTTTACCCATGAAACTAGTAGTTCAATATCTAACCATAAAGTTGGGGTTAACGAGAATCGAACCTCTACTGGTCGGATGCCTTATTTGCAAGGCCAAAAATTATCTAAGTAATATAATGTATGTGCTAGTAATAACAATTACTTCTTTCGTTTTTTAATCCTTGCAACACTTCTCCAAAATGAAAATGTCATAATACTTGCAACACACTATAAATGGAAGTTATTTTAGGGAAAAACTATAATATTTCTCTTACTTAAAGCACATGGTCTACTAAATTACACTCTTAATAACCACTCACCCCATGTGAACCCCACATACCTTAAATACCGTGAAAATGTGTGTGTTGCAAATATTGAAAAATGGAGGAAGTACTTCATATCATTATCTTATACGTGGTATACATACACTACCTTCATCTCACAAAAATAGTTATATAATCTTTCACTAGAACTTCCTTTGTCCCTTAAGTATGGCTCCACTTTTCTTTTTGTGGTGTCCTCTTTTATTTTGCTCTGTACCATTTATGACTAAAGGAACCACTATTTTTCTCTCACAAATAATGTTTTGGACCCACCTTTATTCTCTCTCATCTTTTATATAACTAAAACACTTAATAAAGAGAATATACACTATGGGGCAAAAGTAAGGGGATGGAAGGTGTACTTTGTAATATATTTGCTTATGTAATATTTAAATTATATACAAAGTATTTTTTTTTTAATTTTTTTTTTCCGAGAAAATTATATGTATCTCGTGTTCTAAGATTATTTATAAATCAAACAAGATCACATATCATAAAATTAATTTTGATGTTTATAGCTGCAATATTTGGTTAGATATTTAAAACTCTAACCAAATGTAGTATGTACAAGCCTTGCAAGGTAACAATTTTTGTACAACGAAGAGAAATGTGGAATCATATACTCCTTTTTTTTTTTGAAACCAGTGGAATAATATATATACTACTACCTTTTCTTTTAATTTACAATAAATGTTTTTTTTTTTGAAACCAGTGGAATAATATATATACTACTACCTTTGTTTCTTTTAATTTACAATAAATGAGTATTTTATATTAGACAAAAAAAAACAATTATTGCAAATAAAACGAAACAGTGAAAATAAGAGAAACACGGTGCGGCTGATCACACTATGTGACCACTTGTAAAAGAACAAAGTAACCATTAAACCGGTACCCTTGTAATACAGATCAAGTAACACATATGCAACCTTTATAACACTGATGAAGTAGTCGTGTAAAATTGAACGAGTAACCCTTATAACACTAACAAAGTAACCTAATGATGAATATAATGGCCACATCGTGTGACCAGCCATATATAAGACTTTGTGTTAGAAAAAAATTGTGCAGTAAGTTGTTATCCAAATTAATTGGACACTTGGTTTACATTGACTATACTAATGACGTTGACTTTGTTTAACAATGGTGACCAAGATATGATGGTTCCATATATGTCAACATTGAAATGGATCAAAACGCTAAATATCGTCCCAAAAGTTAATTGGAGGCCTTGGTTTCTTAATGGCCAAGTTGGAGGGTAAGTTAAGTTCCTAAAAAATCTCTCTGCAATTATTATTTGAAATTGTCTTCTTCTTCTTCTTCTTCTTCTTCTTCTTCTTCTTCTTTTTCTTTTTTTTTTCTTTCTTTCTTTCTTTTTTGACAAAAGAGCTATCAAATAAATGGAAAACTAACGAATACAACATCTGTCAACGAAAACTGACGACGCCGGGCACAACATGCTAACCAGTGAGCCGGAGTAACCCACAAACGAGGAACCTTTTGTACCTGGCAAACCAAAAGGGATTGAACCGAAGCCCGCAATTCCTGAATGAGCCACCAAACCAAAATTTCCATTGACCCAGACGGAGGACAAAGAGCAAAAAGGGCTGCACAATCTGTATAAACCCGAATTTTCAAGAAGCCTCTACGGATAGCAAACTCCAGACCCCAAACACAAGCTTGAAGCTCAGACTGCAACGCTGAACTTGCCATAAAAGCCCGACATCCACCTCCTAGTACCTCAGAAGAATGAATATCACGAACTATCCAGCCTGCTCCAGCCCTATAAGTGGAACAATCCCAGGCCCCATCTATGATCAAACAAACCGTTGGAGAGATATTAGGTAACCCTCGCAGACACTGCCACCTGACATCCTGCTTATCCTCCAAACGAACCAAACAAGAAGATTTCGAAGACCTCTTCCACTTTTGAGCCTGCATAACACGAAGAAACCATTCTGACGCCAAACCAACAATAGTCCCAGGCGACCAAACAACTTTCCTAAACCTCATATGATTACGAGAAATCCAAATCGCCCAAAGAAGAGCAAATAACGAAGCAATACCCTTCCAATTCCCTCAGTGACGAAAAATGAGAAATTATACACGAGAACCAAACACCGAATGAAGGAAACTGCATAAGATCCCATTGAATGCCCAACGCTCCAGACAACCAAAGACTGCAGATAACAGGACAATCTCTGAATGTATGAGACACATATTCTACATCCACATAACAAAAAGCATAAACTGGATCGATCGGGAGACCTCGAGCATGGAGAGTAGTCGCTAAAGGAAGAGCGTCATGCAGCAATTTCCAACCAAAGATTTTCCACCTAGGAAGAATTGGTAAAGCCCAAAACTTCCTCCACCATGCTGGAGAAATTTGAGATTGACTACTAGATAAGACCCTAGGCTCACAAAAAAGTGCATAAGCAGATTTTGTTGAGAAAACACCATCCCTAGTGAACTTCCAGTAAACAAAATCATCCATCAACTGTAGTGGACGATCCAACGAAAGAATTCTAGCAACAGAGCTAGAATCAAACAAACCATGAATGATAGTAGCATTCCATGCGCAAGAACGCGGATCAAGTAAAGAAGACACAAGAGTCGGTCGAACTGACTCAGGCAGAAGATCCTTAAACTGAAACGGTCCCCTCAGAACCTAAGAATCCTCCAAAATACGAACACGAGAACCTGAACCAACCTTCCAAAACATACCCTTCGACAACACGGAAAATCCCGACATAAAACTCCTATAACCCCAAGAGGGACGAGAAACCGAGATCGAATCAATGGAACGAAGAGCCGGATATTTCGCAAACAGAAGTCGGGAAACCAACAACTGAGGGCACTGAATAAACCGCCAACTCTGCTTAGCCAACAGGGAAGAGTTAAAAGGGGCAATACTGCGAATTCCCAATCCTCCTAAACCCTTCGGAAGATGGAGCAATGACGAAGAACGAAGAGCTAATCCTCGATTAGAAGAAGAGGACTTCCACCAAAACCTGGCTAACAAATTATCCATCCTAGAACATATAGAATCAGGAATTTTGAAAACAGACAAAATATGATTAAAGGAGGCAACGAGCACTGAGTTGATAATAACAAGCTTCGCCGCCGGTGAAAGTTGAAGAGCTGCAAAGGCCTGTAAGCGGTTGACCACCTTGTCCAAGAGGAACCCAAACTCAGAGCATTTACTACGGCCCAAATCAATAGGTAGCCCCAAATATGAACCCAATCAAGATTCAGACCGCATTTTCATACAAACAAAAAGATAAGCTCGATAGTCCTCTGGAGTATTAGGACTAAACTTGACAAACGACTTCTGCAAATTAAGCATTTGACCTGAAATATCACATAATGCAGAAAGCACATTCATCACATGTTCACACGCAAGAGGAGAAACCTGGAAAAATAGTAAGGAGTCATCAGCAAAGAACAAATGTGAAATAACTAGAGCCCTCCTCGCTATTTTAATACCCTGAAAAAGGCCTTCAGATTCTGCCTTACGAAGCATTGCTGAAAGAACCTCCATGCACAAAACAAACAGGTAGGAAGATAGAGGATCTCTCTGACACAGACCACGCTGAGGACGAAAACCCTCTGTAGGAGAACCATTAACTAGCACCTGGTAAGAGACCGTAGAAACACACTGCATAATCAGATGAACCCAATAGGGAGGAAACCCAAAAACCTGAAGTACTTGACTTAGAAAGTCCCACTCAACTCTGTCATAAGCTTTGTTCATGTCTAGCTTCAAGGTCGCGTAAAAAAGTTTCCTAGCTTTGGAAGCATTAATAAATGAAAGGATCTCATGCACCATCAGGCAGTTATCAGACATCAACCTACCAGGCACAAAGGCATTCTGAAAATCCGAAACTATGTCTGGTAGAATCCAACGCAGACGACGAGCAAGACACTTTGCTATGCATTTATAAATGACATTACAGAGACCTATCGGTCTAAATTGAGAAACTAGTTCAGGGTGATCTACTTTAGGGAGAAAAACTAAGAAAGTGCGATTCCAGTCCTTAAGTAAATAGCCATGAACAAAAAAGAACTGAACAACATTCACAACATGATCACCCACCTCAGTCCAGTAGGTCTTGAAAAAGGCTGAAGTAAAACCATCAGGACCTGGAGACTTACCATTAGCAATACTAAACATCGCCTGCCTAATATCCTCAGCCGAAAAGGGAGCTAGTAAGGATTGACGATGTCCGTCAGACAAAGAAGGGAGGTGAAGGGAATCCCAAGGGAACTGAGAAACTGAAGACCGATCTGAATTCCTACTATACAGTAACTTGTAAAAATCCAGAACCACAGAACGAATGTCCCCCGCATTTGAAACCCAAGATCCATCGTTGTCCTTAAGACCACAAATAGTGTTCTTCCGACGTCTAGCCTGAACTGCAGAGAAAAGCAACCGAGTATGCTCATCTACAAATGCATCCCACTTCACTTTTGCTCGTTGTCTCCAAAATAGATAAGCTGCCTGAGCCTCTTCAATCTTCTCCCTCCTAAAAGTGCTAAACAAACAACGACTACTCCGAGAATCAAGAATAAAAGAAGCATTAGCAACATTTGCAACCAGAGCTTTCCAATCAATGCCCCACGCCTTTTTATGAGAAACACGTACACCAAGCAAGCAGACGGTGACGAAGAACACATAGCCTTTTTGATAATGAAAACATAAGAGACCTCGGGATATGTTCGGCAAAAATAGTCTGAACCATAGTAGCAACATCCTCAGAGTGTAGGCACCAGTTTTCAATTCTGTAAGGCTGTTTATAACTACCAGAAGGCAAAGAGTCACACAAAATAATAGTTCCATGATCTGAAAACAAAATGGGCTCGTGATGAACTGAGGTAGCTGGCCAATCCTGAAGCCAATGGGAAGTAGCTAATGCTTTATCTAACCTCTCTAAAGTGGGGTCCATAATTGTTCTCCCATAGTCCAAGTAAAAGACAGTCCAGAAAACGGAATATCAAGTAACCCATTGTCTAATTTCCATTGTATAAAATCATGACGGCCAGGAATATCCAGATTACCTCCGGCCTTATCCGATAAATATTCAACCTGGTTAAAATCTCCAACTATCACAACATTCGGATAAGAAGCTAAAATATCAGATATTTCCGACCACATAGTCATACGATCAGAAACCTGAGGCGCTCCATACAAACAAAGGACATGTTTTATTACCAAATTCTCCACAACTTGACACAATATTACATGCGGAGAAACTAAAAGAGGTTCAACCACAACTGGGGCAAACCAAAACACACATAGCCCACCTCTAAGACCCATCGAATCAACACCCACAAAATCTGAACATGACAGGGAAGATAACTTATGCAGTACAGAATGTACAGACACCATGGTTTCAGCTAGGAATACAATATCAACAACATAAGAGCGGACTAAGGACGCAATGTAAGGAACTTTAGAGGAGTTCGCCTGACCCAAACCCCTACAGTTCCAAGCCACAAGCTTCATATGTCGCCTGGTGGCCTTAAACAGGCGACCACCAAGCCCTCGGAGAAAAAGTCAGAAAGGGACATTTGAGTTGGAGAAAAGGTACCAATTCCTTTACGTTTCTTAACAGAGAGACATGAGAAACACCTAGCAGCAGCAGCCTCCGCTCCATTCTCCTTAGAGCAGAGCATTAAATTCTCAGTAGAACCTGAGGGCGATCTCTTCTTAGGACAAACTGACTTCATCCTCTCTAATGGTGAAGTTCTTTTAGGCCCCTTTCGCAATGAAACTGACGAAGAGACAGAGAAATTTGACCGTTTACGAGGGTTTAACCTTGAGGGTCAGGGAGGAGATTGAGAAATTGGGTAGTGGAATTGGAAGGTGATTGTGGATAGGTGTCAGGGCAATGTTCGTTGTTTACTAGATCGTGTAAAGGTTCTTTGACGGCTGAGATATTGGGTTGGGGTGGTGTTTGGCACAATTCATTTAGAACAAGGTTTATGTGGGGTGTTTCTAATTGTGATTTCTTCATTTTCAAAGGTGAGAAAAACGGAGTAGCAAACTCACGGGGTCTTTTGTTGGGTTGAAAGTTCTGGGGTTGGGGTCGATCGAAGTTTTTGAAAAAGCTCATGAGATTCACTGCGGTAGTTCTAAATTTCTATGTTCTCTTTAAGCCAATATTCATATTTGAGAGATTATGAGGAAGCAAAGTAGCAGACTTAAACGACCCGTTCTTATCAACAGAAAAAGGAGCAGAACTATAAAAATTCATAGGACAAGTGTTCTGCTTATGGCCAACTCTATTACACTTAGAGCACAAAATAAACACATTCTCATATTTGAAATTAATCCATTTAAACTCAAATTGTCCAAGGTCCAAGTAAAATCCTGATAACAACGGTTCCAAAACATGAATGTGGAGTTCAGAGGTACCTCATCGAGATGAACCCATATATCAGCCTCGTCAAAATTTATATCTCTGATTGACTTACCCGGCGTCCAAGGAGTAAAGATCAAGAGAGCCACTTGATACGCAGTCGAGCCCTGTTGTAGCATATGGGTTTATTTTTGGGGGAAGAAAAGTACATCAAGTTTTGGGTGCCTTCTATAAAGGCTGGACCTTAACTTATTAAGTGAAATAAAATATGGAGTACCATCTAAGAATGGATCTATATCTTAATGAGTTTGACAATAGTGACCTAATTAACACTGCAACATAATCTTATGCATAGGTAAATATGTGGGAAGTTTTTTTTATTGAACTTAATTTGCAACTTTTTGACGTTGTACTCTGTTTATTATTATTATATTTGCTCCACTTTTATTGTGGCTGTATTTTATTACTAAAATAAATACTCCCTCCTTCCCTGATTGATAGTCACTTATGTCATTTTTGGGCACCAAAAATATTAGTCACATTTGTTTTTTTCAAGTATCATTAATATAATTTTTTTTTCTAAAATTCTCTAACATTTGCAAAAATATTTATGCAAATTTAACTTTTCAATGTAAATTTTACTTTTCCATGTACTTTAGTTACTTTCTTTCTCTACTTTTTTGCATAACCAATGTAAATTTACTTTTTAAATATTTTTTTTAATTCTCCTTAATTCCCGTGATTTTTCTTCAAAAATGACTATCAATCGGGGACGGAGGGAGTATTATTTAGTAGGTTCTGAGAATGTCTTGTATCTTACAGATTTGTTACAGAATATTCAAATGACAACTACAATTTGACGTTTACTACAATCAAGGTATAAGCATTACTCAATTCAATTTAATCTTTTATATACCCATTGTTATGTACTAAACTTATTAGATCATTTTTACTAAAATTAAATTATTTTTGTAGAAATTAAATACTTTTTGTGTAATTAAAGTATTTTTGTTCAACTTTAATAATTTTTATTGATTAAAATTAGTTTTTTGATCAACTATTATATTTTTTCTTTGAAGTTAAATTTTTTTATTGATTTAAACTTATTTCCAATAACTTAACTTATTTTTGCTATTTTTTTATTTTTTTTTATTTTTAATTAAACATATCTTATTTTTGTCGAACTTTACTTATGTTTACAGAACTATTAAGACTAGAATAGACCCGGTCTACAATAACTTATTGTAGACCCAACCTTCTAGTATACCATACAAATGTGATTATATCATACGAAATATGATTATATTATTACAAAAGTGATTATATCATCTTGAAACTATTATGTAAATGTATCACTCAAAAAGTGAATTTATCATTATAAAAAGTATCAAATAGTAAATTACATCATTCAAAAGATGATTTTTAAATTTTATCATCCTAAAGATAATTATATAATCTCATTAAATGGTTTAATATGAGATCACTAAGATATATTATTATCCTAAATATAATATCATAAGATATATATGGAAAATATATCACAATAATATATTTTCCTATATTCCCAACACCCTCCCGCAATCGTAACGGCAGTAACACGAACGTTATGATTGGAAATTCGCACTTTGTTGAAGTTGATCGAGTTGCACTACTCTGTTGATGTCGCCTTCAATTTTTTTTTATTTAAAAAAAAAGAACTTTTGCTACCACGGCCCTTTGCTGGTGTCCATGGTCTTCTGTCACGGCCCTTTGCTGGTGTCCGTGGTCTTTTGTCACGGCCCTTTGCTGGTGTCCGTGGTCTTCTTTGCCACGGCCCTTTGCTGGTGTCCATAATCTTCTTTGCCACGGCCCTTTGCTGGTGTCCGTGATCTTCTTTTCCAGGCCCTTTGCTGGTGTCCGTGTTATTTTGCAATTTTTTTTTTAAATAATAAATAATACGCCAAACGTGGCTTTTCTTCATCTCCTTGGAGATGCAATAATGGAGGAAGCACACTCAAACACTACAACCTAACCAAATCACATATGACCATTCATATTGATCACGTATCACATGGTTATTCCAAAAAAAAAAAAGATTAAATAAAAAAAATAGAAATTTCAAAGAGCAATACTATTGCATAGTGGAAGCAAATTTATGAATCCCACCGGTGGGTTTAATATTCTAACCCACCGGCAGGGAGAGAATTTGTGTGAACGGTCCCAAGATTTAACCTGCTCTTGATAAGATAACCTACACAATATAAACTCTATCATATAAACTTCCATAAATCTATCTTAGAATATCACTAAGATATATTATTATCCTAAATATAATATCATAAGATATATATGGAAAATATATCACAATAATATATTTTCCTATATTCCCAACACATTTAGCCCTCTGTAATTAAAATTAAAAATTATCAACTTTTGTTTGTTGAATTTTAGCCTTGTATCTCTTGAAATTTATAGATTTGTGTAATTACCTATCTCCATACCTAAAAGCAGTGAGCCATGGAGGAACAAGGAGGGGCAGTTGTCTCCCCAATTTCAAAAAATAAAAAATAAAAATAAATTTGTTTTTTGTAATTTTAAGATAATACAATGAATAGGTATGAATAAACTCACATATTCTTGTATGTGGTTCAGTGGTTGGCCATATATGTGATCTGTCATCATAGGGGTTTTATTCGTTAGTGTAATAGCTAGGGTTATTTGGTCAATGTTAAATGAGTTATATCGTCATTGTTATAGGGTTATTCGGTCAATATAATAGGAGTTACTTAATCGGTATTACAGGAGTTTACAGAGTTACTTTGTTTTTATATAAGTGTCCACACAGTGTGGCCATTGGCCACACATGGACTGAAATAAGTTACTTACAATTTATAACACAAATATGATTGTGGTTTGTATGTGTTTGAGCTGTAAAAAGGATTTCATACCATTTTTTTTTTTCGAGGAAATACTTCATACTTCGTACTTCCTTTGTTTTTTTTTTACTTGACCTGTTTCTTTTATCACGCTTGTCAATACAAAACTTTAACGATCAATAGCTTAAATTCTCCATAAGTAAAAATTAAATGTTATATATTAGGATAGTACTTATTAAAACGAATCCAAAAAGATCATACATGAATATATTTTTCCTTACATATTATTCACAAAAGAAGGTCAAAGGAGGGGTGGTGAATAGTGTAAAAGTCAAAGCGGGTCAAGTAATAAAGAACGGAGGAAGTATAATTTATCAATGGAATACATATATTCATTTCCCTTTCTGTTTAAATATGTTACTTAAATTATTATTTTTTTCTTTTTTTGGGTGCAAGAGAGGAGAAGACCCGACTTAAATTATATTGTTTGTAACTATGTTTCAACATTAGTATGATATTGTCCGCTTTGAGCCTAACACGTATTGATTTGTTTTTGGGCTCCTTCCCAAAAGGTCTCATACTAATTGGATTATGTACTTACTTCTAAGGACGCTAAGTCCTTTCTTCCTTATTCTTTCCATGTGGGACTCAGATTTCAAATCCCAACAGAATCCCTTCGTATATATTACTCTGTATCAATTTGTTTACTCCCTCTGTTTATAAATATTTACTCCATTTCTCCATGTGCGGAGTTTTAGAAGAAATTGGAGAAAATAATAAAACATGGAGGTAGTGGGATAGGTGGAAGAACAAAAAATTATATATATATTTAAAAAAAAAAAAAAAACAAAAGTAGTGGAGAAAATCGGAGGAGAGAAAATATGAAATTTATAAATTATGATTCATGGTGGGTACACTAGGTAAGAGAAATTAATTAAATATTATAAAAACTTTCCAAATAAGAAAATGTAACAAGCATTTAAAAAAGGCCAAAAAAGAAAGTGGGGCAAGTATTTAAAAACGGAGGGAGTAATAGCTAATTACTTGATTTTATGATAAGGTAATTATTTCATATATATCGATTATTGGATTATATATATATATATATATATATATATATATATATGAAGGTAGCTATCTGTTAGTTGTGTAGGTAGCTGTTAGTTGTCAACAAGCTGTAATTTATATAAATTATTACAAGTGATAAAAGTTATTTTATTTTGACCACATGAATAGTAAGTGAATCGAACTTTGAGGAAAGTATTCAGTAGTTATTATGCCGTGGAAATCATTTTTCCATATTAGAATATTCATAATAGACCCTATATAAACTTGCTTTATGTAGTCTAACTTTTGATATTTTATGATAAATATATGCATTAATCGGTGTATATAATATTTATTTACTGTATTTATAAAAGAAAAATAATAATTGAAGAATTTTTTAATATTTTTTTTGGAAAATGCTATACATAGCCCTTAGGGCTACATATAAGCATTAAATTTACATTAGAAAATCGTAAAAAGTTAAGAAATCATCTAAATATAAACACTAAGGAGCCGTTTGGTTGGGGTTAATAATCAAAGGGAAAGGGAATGAAGCTGGCTCATTCCCTTTATTGTTGTTTGTTTGTCATTTTTTTCATTCTCTTTACCCATTTTCATTTTTGAGTACTCAAAATCCTTCTATATTGATTCCCTACCCCTCCCCCCCAAGACTTTGACATTCCCTTTCCCCAGCCACCACTACACCACCAACCGCTACATTACACAGTCACCCCCACTGCCAAGACACCTCGTCGGAACTCGTCACACCTCCCCCTCCCCTCGCCGGAATCCGTTGCCCCTCCCCCTCCTATCGTCGGAATCCATTGCGCCTCTCCCTCCCCTCGCCGAAACCCTAGAAAATCATCCTCCCACCCAAGTCAGCCACGCAAACCCAACCTCTCTGCCACCTAAGATTCCGACACGCAAACCTAGCCACGCAAACCCAAACAAGCCAGCGAAATCGAGCGGCGATGGTGGGAAGATGCGAAATCGGGCGGCGAGGGGTAGGGGAGATTCGAAATCGAGCAACGAGTGGTGGGGGAGGTGCGATATCGGGCGACAGTGGTTGGGGGGAGGTGCGATATAGGGTGATAGTGGGTGGGGGAGGTGCGATATGGGGCGGCGAGGGGTGGGAAGATGTGAAAATGGAAGGCGAGGGGGTGGAGGTGCGAAATTGGGCGGCGAGGGTCAGTGAGGTGGTGGCTGGTGAAGTGGCTGGGGAAGAGGGGTTGTGTGGTGGTGGTGGTGGACCGGTGGTGATTCCTTTGTTTTGTAAAACAAACAACATACTACATAGAAAGGGTTTCATTCCATTCCCTTTCATTCCCTTTGTTCATTCCATTCCCATTATCCCGTGCGAACCAAACGACCCCTAATTACTCTAATTTACGCCTGTCTTGCTCATGAATTCCTTATTTTATACAATTTTCAAGAATGTATTTAATGCTTATATATAGCCCTTAGAGCTACATATAGCATTACCCCATTTTTTTAGCCGTTTTTTTTTAAACTTTCTATATAATATGTAACTCTAATGATTATATTAATAAATTTCCTTATACTCACAATAATTTTATGCAAATTAGTATTCCCTCCGTCCCTTAATTAATACAATGCCTCTTTTGAGCATTTATTCCTCACATAATAAAGAGAAAGAGACATTCTATTAAAGGACGGAGGGAATATTGCAAGACTATGTTTAGATCACCTTATTTTTATTTATTTCAGATTAAATCAGAAAATACGTACGAATTGAGATTAATCAAATTGGAAAAAACAATTTCATACTGTACTTATTATTTTATGTGCAGTTTATTATGCCTTTATATTTCACCCTATATTTTGTTAGTGGTCAGATGGTCAAAAATATCGAACCGTAACACAATTCCCAAGTTTGTCTGTCCAAATAATTAATTGGTATTTGCCTATTTGGAGTACTTCTTTGTCGTACACCATTTAACATTATCATTAGGGGTGAGCAAACCGGGTACCCGGTCAAAATTTTAGGACCCAGACTTGGAATTGGTTGGAACCGGGTTCTAAAATTCGGAACCGGAATTGAAATTGGTTCAACCGGGTCCTAAAATTTAGGAATTGGAACCACCGGGTACCGGTTCCGGTTCCGGTTCCAGGTACCCACTTGTGTATGTAATTTTTAAAATATAATACAAATTATAATTTTATTTTAGTTAGGTTCATTTTTAGCATTTAACACTTATATTTATATGTGCATTAAGCTATTTGTAATTATGTTAGGTATTAATAATACTTTTTTATTTTACAGATTAGATACATTCAATGTATTTTTATTATTTAAATTTAACTTAGTTTAGCATATATTGGGTAACCGGGTACCCAACCGGTTCCGGGTCCAAAAAGTTGAGAATTGGAATTGGAATTGGTTATAACCGGGTCCTTAATTTATTACCCAGAATTGGAACCACCGGGTCCAATTCCGGTTCCGGACCCGCCAGTTCCTAATCGGTTCCGGTTCCAATTCCGGGTACCCGGAATTTTTGCTCACCCCTAATTATCATATACAAATGATTTAATTAATCAACTTTAAATGTTCGTAACTAGTGCCGAGTAGCTTGTTCAGACCTTCCTTAAATTTCAACTATATACTTGTAGTTTATATAGACTTCTCTCTCCATTTAATTTGTTTCTTCCCTATAATTTCAAGAAACGAAATGAGTAACAAATTTGTAACTCAACTAATATTAGTATTGACGATAAATTTGGTATCATTTGTGTTGTGTAACTATTATCATACAACTCCAAATACAAATTCAAATGCTGTTCGATTTCTACCTGGCTTCCCTGGAATTCTTCCTTTCAACCTTCAAACCGGGTATGTTTTCATGTCGATTTCTTCCTCTATTTTATTTAAGAAAATTTGCAAAAAACCACCTTTTAAATCTTGTTTTTTTTTTTTTGCATATAACCACATTTTAAAAAAAATGTTGCAAAAGACCACCAAGTTTTAAAATTTTGTTGCAAATTACCACCAATTCAATGTAAAACAATTGATAAATTTGGCTAAAAAAGTGGTAATTTGTAACAAAATTTTATAAATTGGTGGTCTTTTGCAACATTTTTTTTAAAAGGTGGTTATATGCAAAAAACAAGATTTAAAAGGTGGTTTTTTTGCAAAATTTCCTTTTATTTAAATTGCATTATTGGTATTTTTACTCTTGTTAATTCACAATTTATGCTACACATTAAGCTGTTATTTGCACCATATATATTGAGGCAAATCTAATAAAATGTCATGAAAATAGAAAACTAATTAGAAACTTGTGGATAATGTATGTAGAAAAGACATTTAATCCAATAAGGCTGTAGAAGGCATTTTGTCCCATTCCTTGCCAATTATGCTATGTTATTTTGCTCTTTAGAAAAATTAATTCAAATATACGAAATAAAGTTTGAATTAATTCAGTTGATTGAAAAGAACATAGGTTATATTCAGTTCGTCTTATTTAAGGTGTTTAGTCTAATTTGAACTCTAAATTATAATTTTTGTGAAGTTATGTTGTTAAGTTCCTACTTGGTATCGTTCTCTTTGTTTTAGCTAAAAAGACGTTATGGTCTAATTTGAACTCTAAATTATATTTTGGAGAGGTTATGTTTTATGTTATTAAGTTCCACTTGGTATATTTATTTTAAGGAAAAATATATATGCAACCCTAAAGGACTGCATGTAAGAAGCTAAAAATGGAAAGTATATATATACAATTAACATTTATTACACCGATTTACTTGTAAATTGTCGATAAATTTCCAAATTAATACTTAAAAAAGGAAGTATATTAAACGCTAACATGCAGCCCTAAGGGCAGCATATAACATTATCCTATTGACATTTAAATTACAGTATTTTAATTTTCTGTGTGCAAGTTTAATATTAATTTGACTGTAAAAAAAGGCTTATTATTAATTTGCATTCTTGGGCTGCATGAACAATTCAAACAATGTTATTATTGTAGATATGTTGGAGTTTGGGATGAGCAAGTGCAGCTATTTTACTACTTTATACCATCCGAGAAAAAACCAAAAACAGACCCACTTTTAATTTGGTTCTCTGGAGGACCTGGTTGCTCTTCATTAACGGATCTTGTATTTGGACATATTGGTAAATTAACTTTTATTTATCTATATATTTTTAAATCAACTTTATTTAATTTACTTTGGTATCATCTCATCGGGTTTATATATCGTAACCAAGTGGAATTTGCAAATATATGAAGCCACCAAATTAAATGTAGAATCTTGCAAAACTTTTTTAATACTCCGTGTTTAACTTTTTGTTTTTTAAGACAAAAACAATGATTAAACTTAAAGAATGATTAAAATGCTAATTAATTATAACATTATTTTAGACAGATTATATAATTTTATTCTAACATTATTAATAGAGCTTAAACATAAGCTTTGTTAATTCTAATAAAAATATTGTTGTGACGACAACAAAGGTCCTCTATCCTTCGACGCAACATCACAAAGGGAGTTTGGTCTACCGAGACTTGAATCAAATCCTTATTCTTGGACTAAGGTAATCAAATCATCTATCTAATTCTATTAGCTTAATAGCTTTATGTACTCATAGTTCATGCATCTAAATTGGAGTATTGCTTTTATAAGAGCTCTCTCTGTCTCAGATCAATTCAAACACTTACATTATGTATAATTTATTGATTAGGCATCGGGTTTTTTTATGATACATTGTTGAGAATTAGTTAAAAAAATAAGTTTTAATCAATAATTTAAGTTCGGTAAAATGATTTAAGTTTGACACGGGGATTTTTTGTGTGGCTGGCCACATCGTGTGGCCGGGGTTCGTTACTCGAGTTACTCATTCGAGTAACCCCTGACCAAACCCCTTAAGTAAACCCTAATCGAGTAACCCTCCGAGTAATCTCTGACCGAGTAACCCTTCAAGTAGCCCCTGACCGAACCCTTCGAGTAACTTGAGTAACCTTGGCCACATATAAAAATTTATGTTTAAGAAATTATAATGGGTTTTTCTATATAGTGCCCCAGAGGTATTGACTTTTCCAAGTTGTGCCCACCTATTTTCAAAATTCTACGCTATACCCCCAAGGTAACTTTAGTGTCTACGAACCCTACCGTTAAATTGTCGTTAACTATTGTAGTTTATATGTTTCACCACCAAAACTCAGCTCTCACAACCCACCACCCACCACCCTCCACCCACCGACACACCCCAGGTCACCTGCGAGCCGAACCCCACCAGCGAGCCGAACCATATCACCCATTACAGCCCCACCACCACAGGCCCACCACCACCTAGTGCACCACCAAAGAAAGTGTTAGAATGCAATGGAGGAATTTAATTCGAATTCGAATTGAAATTTCGACAAATTGGTTTAGGGTTTTTGTTTCATTGGATTCAAATTGGAAAAGTAAGTTGTTAATTGTTTTTTTCGTTTTAAAATCAAAGAATTTGGTTCAAAATAATAGAAAACTCCCCCAATTTGATTTTAATTGTTAAATCATCAATTTTTATTCAATTAGATTGACTTTAAATTCACAAAACTTGTTTTAATTGATTTTTCCAATGAAAATCTGCACGAATATGGTTCAATTGGTCGAAAATCTGGGCATGAAGAACGAAAATATGAGCATGAAGCTAAGAACGACGGTGGAGTTTAGGGTCGAGGATTTGAGAGAGAAGGAGAGAGGAGGGTGACGCGCGTGGTGGTGGGTCAAGGAGAGAGGAGCGTGGCTCGATGGTACAGCTGGGGGTGCGGCAGTGGTGCGACTAGAGGTGCAGCGGTGGTACGGCTGGAGGTGTAGTGGTGAGTAGTTGTGAGGGAGCAGATAGAGGTGTTTGGGTTTTTTTTTTCAATTAATTTATTTTGAAGTTAATTGAAAGTTAACTTTAGTTAACGGAGAGATAACGATAGGGTTACATCGTAGACACTGGTACATCGTGGAATTTTGAAAATGGGTGGACACGACTTGGAAAAGTCAATTCCTCATAGACACTGTATAGAAAAATCCAATTATAATTAAGTAAATTAAATTTAGAAATAATTTCAGTTTAGCAAAAATAAGGTGAAGAGAACGAGACCTCAATATGAATTAAGAGTTTTTTTTTTTTTTTTTAAGTATACTTATTACGGAGTATACCATATCATATTATATTATCATCTTCTATATTGAAAATGTTAGGTGTGTATAAATATAGGAGAAATTCTAAAGTATTGTTAACCCTCAAAAATCAATATTTCATGTTTGAAAATGTATAGGATCACCGATCACAAAGAGGAAAGCAAATTAATCAAGCTTGTTTCAACTTAGTAGTGTGTTCATCCCAAAAAAAATACATTTTAAGCTACTAAGGTGTACAATTATAAAGTAATTATCTATATGAAGTGATATGAATATGATGTATTGTACAAAGTATGGTAGAAATAATAATTTATCTATCATTTATCGTAAAGTAACGATACAATAAATGTTTTAGGTTGCAAACATAATATTTCTCGATTCACCTGTTGGTGCTGGATTTTCCTACACAACAAGCAAGGCTTACCTTCCCGGTGATACAAACACGGCAAAACAAGCATATGAGTTTTTGAAGAAGGTTAGTTCATTTATTAGCCGATTGAGCTAGATCCTATACGCGTAGTGGTTAAAATTAATGCACCTCAATTATATATATCCTTACTCGCATTTTATCACGTGTCCTGCCTTACCAATGAGATGTTGGCCTAGCGATTAAGACTAATGGCTCGTATATATTTGAAATTTGTTTCGCCCTTGTGAAGCATACATCTTTTTATGGTCCGATTGATTTTGTTAATCGTAATTATAAACTGTGATGCGTACAGTGGCTTATGGAGCATCCTGAATTTGCAAGAAACCCTGTCTACATTGCAGGTGTTTCGTATTCTGGAAAAGTAGTTCCATCTATTGCATTAGAGATTGTAAATGGTAATTTCGACCCTCTATTTATCATCATACAAATACCTTAGCTTTCATGGTTATATATGTATATAATATAGTCATTTTGTTGAAAGCTTGAAATTTCAATATTTACAATTTTACAGATCAGAGTAAATAAAGTTGAATCAATGTTCCACTTCGTATAGTAACAAATTACATACAATTCATTATATTTACGTAGTATAAGACATAAATTACAAAGAATTTATAGTACGACCTATATATATTAATGCGTTTTATTTAACACTTGTATATTTGTATGTATGAGTTTCTATTCCTATAGGAAATGAAGCAGGTTTTGGGGCAAAAATAAATCTTCAGGTGTGTTATATTTTATTTTTTAATGTCAAGAGAGCATTTGATTTATAACGTTTAAGTATAAACATCATACTCCTATATAATAGGTTTAGAAAGACAAAAATCATAGTACCTTGCCCGAGTAAATTTAAAACTTTCATGGGGCGTTCAATAAGAGATGGGGATATGGATAAAGATATACTTCCTCCGTTCTTTTTCAATGCATTACTTAGCTTATTAATATCTTTAATTACAATGAGTGTGAGGGATAGCTCTAGTGGTTAGAGCTCCCCTCCCTATTTCAAGTGATACTAGATCGAAACTCATCACCTGCCCTTGTGGCTCTCTAAACGCCAGAAGAAAAAGAAAAAGAAAAAAAAAAAACCCTTTAATTACCCTAAAAATTATTAAACATTTGATGTATGAAATGTATATTTCAAGACTAATCTAACTAGCTGACTACGTTTGCTTACGGATAAATCACATATGATTACATTCCTACTTCTCTTTATTATGTGAGGAATAAATGCTAAAAGTAGGAATGTAATTTAAAGACGGAAGGAATATGGGAATAGTTTTAAAATCTTTATGGTGCAGCAAAAGAAAAACGGAGAAAGTATAAATGTATTGTTATAATGATGACACACCATGTAAATTATTTTATACACACCAAGGGCATTTTTAGTCAATTTTAAAATTTCATTTGTATTGTCTTGCAATGTCTCTCTTAATAAAACGCACGTTGGCATGCATCCAGGGATATATTCTCGGGAATCCGGTGACTACTAAGTATCTTGAAAACCAGACGAAAGTTGAATATGCTCACCGTGTATCCGTACTATCCGATGAGATATATGAGGTTAGTATTGTCACTTTACTTTCACCATGTTTGAGTCACCAATAACATTGAAACACGTTTTTTTGTGCCAAATTTGTGCAATACATTGATTGTTTGTCCATAATTATTTACAAGGAAATCTTCCAAGGACAATGGTTAGCATAGAATTGTCTAATGTCTAGTACTACGCTTCAAAGTTTAAAAATGAACTCTCTTTGAATAAGACATTATGCATGTAATTCTCTTTTAAATAATTTGTTGATGAAGCGATTTTTTTTTATGGAAATTTTTTTGACAACTATGGTGTTAGGTGCGATGCGTGTACCTTCTCCAATGAAATAAATGGCCGAAAAATTTTCATTTCAGGCATGCGTCGCACCTAACACCATAGTTGGTGTTTTGGCAAATACACATAGTTCAGGGTGCTTAGTGCACCTAAGCCATACTTCAGGATGTTGCGGCTAATTTTGCCTTTTTTTATTTATTTTTTGCTGATGGATCATCATGTATATTACAATTGTTAGTCGGCCAAAGGAAGTTGCCATGGTGATTATCGGCCAATTGCTGCAAAGGGTAATGCACAATGCAAGAAGAATCTAGAAACTGCATCAAAGGTGATGAGTTTATCTTTATATTCTTTCGCATACATAAATCTAACTCACATAGTTCTACGTTAACAACTTAATATCATGTACAACTATGTAGATCTAAGTCTAACTATTGTCCTATGTAGTGCATTGATCCATTAGAAGATGAATTCGTCCTTGAATCGAAATGTTTCCATCCATCACCAGATAAGTGGTGTCGGGTATTGCTTTGTTTCTCACCTGCATTCTTTCTTCAAAGTTGAGAGGCATTTAATTTTTAAAGTTGATTCTATAATAATAGTGATACAAATTTATTTTTATTATTTTTTGGTGGTACATACAACAATACTATCATGATCACATGTCTGAATTGTGGGCAAATAACATTAATGTCCAAAAAGCTCTTCATGTTCGAGAGGTAACTAAATCGATCCTCAAAACAACCACTTTTGTATTAGCTAGTTGATAATAACATGTAGCATGTTGCAGTCTAATCTTGAGAATGTATTTAGGGAACGATTAACCAATGGATTCGTTGTCGCGGTCACAACAATGATAAGTTTAACTACACTCACGATATCGATAGTAGCGTCAGTTTTCATCAAAATCTTTCCATGCACCCTCCCAGGGCACTAATCTTCAGGTAATTTCTGACTTTAATGTAGATTCTGAGTTTCATTTCTGGTTAAGGATCTGTTCACATTTACTTAATTTCAATTCAGCTTCAATCAGTTCAGTTCAGCTCCTAAATTCCCTCTCTCATAAACTATTCATTTCATTTCAGTTCAATTCAGTTCAGTTAAGCTATATTCTTTGTTTAACATAAAATCGTCCTTTCTGAGCTATATTCTTTGTTTAACATAAAATTGCCCTTTTTGAGCTATGTTCTTTGTTTAACATGTTAAACGAACAGTGGTGATCAGGATATATGCATGCCATATATGTTCACATTGAAGTGGATGAAGAAACTAAATGTCGTCCCAAATGATGTTTATTGGAGTCCTTGGTTTCTTTACGGCCAAGTTGCAGGGTAAACTTCCGACACTTTCTCTCTTTATTTGTACGTATAACTTCGCCATGGAAGCTGTGTTTAAGTTTCACACTTCCATCATGATGAAGGCCTTTGAGAAATATTGTGAATATGTGTTGCGAATAAATATTTCGACAAATGGTAAACCCTAAAAACCAATTAAGTCTGAGAATTTCTTGTTTCATACAGATATGTCACAGAGCATTCAAATGATAACTACAATTTGACATTTACTACAATCAAGGTATAGAACTTCACTCAATTTTTTTTATTTTTTATTTATGATTATGGATTACTTAACATTAGACAAATTGTTAATTCTGTAGGGAGCAGGACATGTTGCCCCTGAATATAAGCCGCGAGAATGTTTAGCAATGTTTCAAAGATGGATCACATTTAATCCTCTATAATGAAAATCATAGACATATCTAATATATATTTGTTCATTAAATTTAAGGAATTTATAGATTTGTACAATACCTAAAAGGCATGGAACTGTATAGTTGTTTGATTTTTGCACTTTAACTCTCATATTCCTAGTTATTTAGTAAATGAGGGTTAAAGTTCAATTTTTTTTATGTAAAATTAATATGTTCAATTTTCTCAAATCGGTTGCTTAATCGGGAAAGTAATAATTGGAATTCGAAGAAACCGAGAAAGTATTTCATTAAGTGATTTTTATATCTTTGGTCCATTCTGTTTCACATTATGTGCAACAATTGGATGTAATACCCAATTGTGTTGCACGCAATATGAAACGGTTCATTTTATTTCACATTATGTGGAACAATTGGATGTAATACCCAATTGTGTTGCACATCATATGAAACCATTAGCAGATCTATAAGGACTTGAAGGGGAGCACTTGCATCCCCTTTTTGCAAAATATTAATGAAATTCAAGGTAAGTTAAAAAAGAATCTATTTCATATACAAGTTTTTGTTCTCCCATTTTAAGTAAATTGATTCCTAGAAGATAAAATTAGACAACAGAAATCATTAAGTTCTAAAAAATCATACATTTTCTCCATTTTTAGGTCAAACTTTAAAAACTTTGACCATAAATTACCGTTAATCTATAAAAGATAGTATAGTAAAGAAAAATAGTCGCTTTATATTTTGTTAGACTCGTCTTTATTTTTTATCACTATTATTGTTATTATTATATAATTAAAGTTTTTTAAGGGTTAAACCGTGCTTTGAGAAGTGTAATTACCCTAATCTAGAGGTGTTAAATGAACGACTAACATGCTAAATGTGAATTAAAAAATAAGAAACCACAAAATATTGAAACATTAATATTGATCAACGTGATCCATATCCACTGTATGAAAGGGAGGTATTACTTAATATAACCAAATAACCAAAGTCAGGTATCTTGATGATCATCTTTAGCAACCGCTGTGTTGGTGATGGGGGTTGGCCAGAGAGGTGGACGATAAGGAAACAATCTGAAGGATGGGATCGGAGAAAATACGGAGGAGTTGAAATCCGAGACTAGTTGCACCGTCTTACTTCTTAGATTCACAGCCATTAGACAATGATCTTCAGAATAAACGTACAACACATCTCCGTTGAAAGGATCGAAACCTTTGATAGACATACGCACATCAGCACTTTGCCAATTAATACTTGTGAGATCCACAAAATGCTTTATATTCCAAGTAGCATGGCCATTCGAGTAGTCCTTCAAATCCCACACGGTGACTGTTTGAGTAGAAGCAGTGATGTCGTGCCAATGATAAAGCCGCAGGTGTTGTTCAACGTTTTCTATGCATAAACTTCGTTGTTCAACATACATCTCATCGATTTTTGCTTCCTGTGGAAGATCAATAAAGTCTGGGTTGTCCCTGTCGAATGGATTATATACCATGATCATGTTGGTGCACCAATAAAGCGCCCCATCCAAAGTGGTGGCATATTGACCATCCGCTTCATCTGCTTTCGACACCGCCAAAAAGTTTGGTGGACTAGGCACAACAAAATTACACCAACCGCCAGTATCGGAAGAGAAGACGTAGATATCTAAAATCTCACTGCTTCTCACAATGTTGCATCCACGCCTAATTAGGCGCGGCGAGTTCTTTACAAGGACCACTTTGTATTGGGTGGGATCGTCAACGCTACATATGATGCCTGTGAAGTCAATAAGAGGATTTCTTTGATTATCATCAAAGAAACAAGGTGGAGGTTGAGGGAGCCTGTAAGATTGCTTCGTTAAGGGGTTCGATACGTGTAGATGTAAGGAAGGACCACCACCAACACCAAGATTCGACGGCAACGACACTGTCAAGAGTAAATCATTAGAAACCAACAGCACCAAGTTCATAGGCCATTGTTGATTGAGGAAATCTAAGGATACTAAGGGCTGGTTCTGGTTCTTAGGTAAGGCGTGGACCTCTCGAACCAGTGGACAAGGATTAGAAGGAGCATTGATCATATAGTTGGCAAGTAGTATATGATTATATTCATCATCAATTGTATGATTCACATGCCGTTTTCGATGGCAAAGGGCAAAGCTTTTACTTGAAGTCAAGCCGAGCCACCGCTTCGAGACCAGCTTACATTGATGGCCTGATTTCACTGGTAATCGCACAAGAATCTCCGTTAAGGTCTCATCCCTTAAATCTTCTATTTCTGATTTTCTCTTCTTCGTAGCCATATTAGATTTTTTTATTTTTTTATTTTTCTATACTTTATCAAATATGTGTATATTCAAGCAAGGCAGGAGAAGGGTATATATAGATGGATACACCGACTATGCTACGATTCCTACTTCGTTTCAACTTTCAAGTCATAACAAACTTCTAGATCAGATAATATGGCCTTAAAATATACAATAATATTTTTTGGTTATTTAATTACGTCATAAACAAACTAATTAGATTTAAGATAAATCTATCGATATTTTTTTTCTTTGCTTTTTTAATATAGATAAAATTCATGTCAATATTCTTTAGATTTCATTAATATATAGATAAAGAAAAGATAAACTTTCTGAATTTTTATTTGACGATAAATAAAATACTTACAACTAGGGGTGTACATAAATGAACCGGACCTGAATCGGACGGAATTGGACCGGACCGGACCCGGGCCAGAACCTTCAGGTCTGGTCCCGGTTCTAAAAAAAGGTCTATTCCGGTTTTCGGTCTGGTCCAGGTTTAACCCGGAATTTCCCGGTCCAGACCGAAAACCGGGTTTTAAAAAAAAAAAAACAAAAAAATATTTTGGGTATAATCAAACAGTTCATTTCAATTTCAACGTTCATTTTCACTCTCTCTCTCCTAAAAACCCTAAAATCACTTCTCTCTCACGGCGATTCTCCCTCACCGGCGATCCTCCCTCATCGGCAATCCTTCCTCACCGGCGTTCTTCCTCACCGGCGAATCAAATCTCTCTCTGCGACTCCTCATTCATGGTTAGTGTTTTTTTCTCAATTACATTTACTTGTTGATGTTTGCATGTTGATTTTTTGAATTGTATTACATTTTTTGAGTGCATTTGTATGGGTTTTAGGGTTTCTTTGAATCTGTGGGTTTATGTTTTTTCAATAGCTTTGATTCTGGGTTTTTGTTTTTTCAATGCCCACCACCTGTTCGATGAAATTGATGAAGAACAAGCAAACCGGTCCAAACAGGTCCAGACCTGGACCGGACCTGATTTTTCAGGACCGGACCCGGACCGACAGGAACAGGTCTAACACAGGTCCACGCATGCCGGTCCAAACCGGTCCGGGTCTGATCCGGTTCAGGTCCGGTCCGGATCTAGACCGGTGTTCACCCCTACTTACAACGACATTGTTAATGACTTTCATACCCCTAACTTAAACTTCATACTTCCCCTCCATAAACAAGCACTTCTTCAATGAAGGGTGAAAAGATTTTGCTTATGCATTTAAATGATATATTGGGAATAAAGCCACCTCGAAAATACAGAATTTAAGGGAAATAACCTGCACTTTCATGTTGCCAACTGGGAATACAAAATTACTTCATACATCGTAGTACTAAGCATGCAACACAGCCAAATATGAAGTAGAGACTTCATTCAAAAAAATAACTCGTCATATGTAATTCAGCAGGGATTACATGAGATTTTATACGACCAATTTCTGACCTAATTACTCTAAATTACCTGTTTTCAAGATCTCAACCTTGGAATGTAATCACAATTTTTAAGCCAAGCCAGCAAAATCAAGGTGCAAGCCTTTGAGGATCACGAGGGAACAGTGAGGTTTTCCGAATGTTGTTCAGGTTGCAGAAGAGCATAACAACACGCTCCAAACCTACACCAAAACCTCCATGAGGCCAAGCACCAAACCTGAACAGAAAATTTTATTAGTTGTGTGAAATTAATACACTTCCTAGAAATGCAAGTGTTAAATATGTATGATGGTTCAGAAAATGCTAATAACAGTGCATTAAGGCAATTGAATAAAAAAACCAAAGGCAACAACATAACAATATTCCCACCACAGCAGTTGACTCGGAATGGTTTTGGAAAGGCTAGGCCACTTGCAGTCTAGGAAGTTTGGGGAAGAAAAATAGCACATGGGCAGTAGAAGATAGCTATGATATGGCTAATAACAAGGAGATGTTATGTACTGTCCACTTGGCTAAGCAACATTTCAAAGTCCGCCTCCATGGCGCCTTAACCAGATAATTCAAGTTTTGAAAGCAACAATCTTCTTTCAGTCCTTGCCCAATAATATAATGCCACCCATCCTTCTAGAAAGCTCCACCAATCGCCTCCAGCCCTTGTTCTAGATAGACAAAAGTGAATATCGGGCCTCCACTGTTACCTTTTTGCAATATATCAGAAACCATACAAATTTTAATTACAGCCTCCAGAAATACTGAGTGCAGCTTGTACACACTAACAGACTGCCTTCCAATATAAGAATAAACCTGTCCAGGTCAAATTGTTGATTAAAGATGCCTAGAAAAGAGCCTTAGTAAACCCTTGTTTATACGTCTCAAACACCTGGACTCTAATGTTACCAACACTCAGCACACCAACATACATTTTCAACACCCACTGAATTCCGAATATCGCCAATGATTGTAATTTACTGATCTAAATTCTAGGTCCATCACTTCATGAAGCATGTATGCCATCAAAGCTTGCCTGGTTGGTACAATCAAAAGGGTCAAAGTTTGCTCATGATGCCATCAACTATTTAACCTAAACTCCACCCCCAAGTGTCCACAATCCACCACCCCAGGTAAAAGAGCAAGGCAATTTAGGCTCCACTTATTTTAATGAAAACATTTTCAGATACCAATTTTCAAGGGAAATACAATTGTAAATATTGTTTGCCTTTATTTGTTTGTTTACGATAATAAAACATTTTCTAGGAAAAAATTTCCGTCAAAATAGACGGAGCCTTAGCCCCTCCATAGATAATCAAACTACAAATATCTGACATTGATAATTAAATAAATCATAATCTCCCAACAATTCAACCATAGCATTAGAGTTATAGTCATCCATAATCAAGCATTTTAATTAAAAGATAAACCCATATTCAACAAGAAAAACAAACTTACTTGAAGGAGTCAAGATAAGTAGCTATGGTCTTGACATCGATGCCACATTCTTCAGCACGCTTTGTCAAAAATTCAGGTTCATGAATACGCTGAGCTCCCGATATTATCTCCTCACCTAAAGTGGAGACAGAAATTAAGAAGTCAGAACAATTGAATTAAGAAGCATACATGAATGAAGAAACACCATTTCAGTTCCAAAGTTCAGAGACATAGTAATCCACCATAGGAGCCCATAGTTAACTGCCTACTTTGTGAGTTAATGACTGTAATAGACCATTTCAAGCTCATTTAGATAAAAATATATAAATAAATAAAATTAAAAAAAAAAAAAATTGGATGCACTGATAACTTCTATGCCTAGAGTTCTATCGATTCAAGCCACTTTCTGCTTTGAGATGCACTATTCAGACAATCCTCAGTGGCTTCGTTAAGCATAGCTCGATTTGCCAGGTCAGTGACCAAATAGAAAAAAATATAAACAGTCAAATGCCAACAGATCACATGCCACCAATATTTGGCTGGTCAAAGTTGTACCCATCTTTAGTTGTACCAACAAGCAAACCTCCATACACAAATACCCATCACGTATTCCTTTTGGGATGTTCACACAAAATCTTCCTATCACTTGAAATTTCACCCAATCCATGTGATGTAGACCCCTCCATAAACTCTTTCTCTTACACTCTTTTATCATATTCTATTTCATGAGGTTCCTACTGTCCACTATGGGCACTATAATCAATTTATCTATCCTTAGTTCCCTACTATCTACCAAATTATCTACCTTGCCCTACTAAATTCATAGATATGAGTGTCCAAATTTCAAACCTAATAGGAACATAAATTGAGGAATGAGGACAAAGGAAATATACTACGTTTTCTTTTTACCAATTAGGCCATGAGAAAATTTTGTTAAAAACAGTGGAATTAAGAAACGATATGAAGTTGTGATGACCACAAATTAATTGGCAAGCACTAATGCTGTACTTTATTTACTTACAGTAAAGACCCATTACCTTTTCGTTGACTTTCTTTTTTTTGTGTCAAAGCCACAAAACAGGTTAACTGAGGTCTCCAATGCTCTTTACACTCAGCAAGATGCACCAATCCAGGAATTATTTGCTCCTAATTCCTAACAGCATTTTTCAAGTATAGAGCTAGAACTAAGTCCCAATAGAAATGACAATATTTTCACACGTGGAACAGAAACAGAGTGCAGGATCCAACCCCCTTCAGGCTACCTGTTTCACTTTACTTTAAGCACCCAAATTATAGTACTCAATAAGTCAATATTGAACTGAGACCAACCCTTGCCATTGCTCAAATACAGTGCTTACTCAAGGGGATAATGCTGAGAAGTTCACTATCTCACGCAGTCATGGTGACCCACTCTTGCTACCAACTTCAATGAAGTTAAAATATTTAGAGTAATAATCAAAGACAATACGTTAACTCAAGAAAACCTACGTATCATACATCACACAAAATACAGAACCGGAAACAGCTACCAAGCAAAAATAGGGTACTCTCTAATCGATAGAGCAAGAAATTCATTTCACCTCAAGGTAAAAGATTAATAAAAAAAAATCTAATTATACGCTTCGTAGCAAAAAAATCTAACTCACCCCGTATAAAGACATCAAATGAATTGCTATATGACGGGTCATCATAGCAAGGCATGGTATAGAATGGCCTAATAGCTGATGGATATCGGTGGAGAATGTAAAACTCAGTGTCATATCTGCAAATAAAGAAAGACCGGTCAGTATCCAGCTAAATATAGTTTTATTAAGAAGATGAGAATATGATACATGTCTCCAATCAGTAAAGAGATTTCTATGTTCCAGCAAGGCATTCAAGTTATTTTGTAATAGACTAACCTAGAGGGATAGTATGGGTATTCTAGTAATATTAGTTTATTAGGGTTAATAGTCCTTGGTATAAATAGAGAGGTAAGGGTAAGAAGGTAGGTAGGCAAATATTGGATGAAACTTGTTGAGAGTTGTGACCTCAAGTCACTCCTTGGAGAGTTGTGAGCTAAACTCACTTTTGAAGATTGATAGCCTTAAGCTATTATCCTATCTTTTGTAACCATTCAACCATTATCAATCAAAATCCAAGCTTTAATCTTTATTTACTTACATTATCAAATCATATTATAATTCCAGAAAGATAGTTCATAACAATTGGTATCAGAGCAGGCGGTCTTGCAGGCTGCCAGTGACCGGAACCACCAGTCCGACCACCGCATACAAAAAAAAATGGTCTTTGAATCTGTTCAAAAGAGTGTAACGCAACTGATGCAGAAATGTATTTGTGATGAGTATGCACACATTTCCAGCAAGAGAGAACAGGGGATTTCGGATCTCAAGGAAGAGCGAAGAGTCCGATGCGAGCTTCAACTTCCGGAGTTCAATGGGAGAAATCTGGAAGACTGGGTCCTTCAACTTGAGGACTCCTTCCATTTTTTCCAGCTGAATGAGGAGACAAAATTGAAGGCAGCCATCATTGGACTTGACGGCAAAGCGTTGCAGTGGTTCGAACGTGAACACCGATAGCTACCATTTCGTGACTGGCGAGAATTGAAGACTTGGCTGCTTCGAAATTCAGGGAGGTGGCTACCAAATAAGAAGGAAAGGAGTGAGAAATCTCGTGAATTATTAGAGAAAGAATCCATTAGGACAGTGGTGGAAGTGGCGGTCGCCCAAGCAATGGCAACGGAAAGGGAGAGGGCCGAGGAGAAGAAAGGTTATCTGGAATCCAAACCCTCGGCCGAGCAAGGCGTTGCAATTGTGGGCACGGAGAGGAAGGGTGAGGAAGGTTTCACAGACAAACCAACTGAAGTTTCTTTCCAGTCTGACGGTGCGGTGGTGTCAAGCTGGAGTCGCCGGCGAATCTGGTGGACGGTGGACCTGATGGGCGAGGTGAGTTGACTGGTGGGGTAATCTGTACTAGTGATTTTGAGGGTGAGGTGAGTGTTTTCGAAGGTGGCCTTGGTGGTGGTTTCACAAGCAAACCCACCAAAGTTTCGTTTGAGGGGAGCGGAGATGGCCGAAGATCCGAAATTGATTTTTCACCACCAAGGGTCTGGATATGCCGGTGGAGGTCCGGGTGGAGTCAACAGCGAATTTGGTGGCGAAGCTCGTGCAATTTGGGTGGATTTTAGTACTGTGCAAAGGGCTGAAGTTGATGTGTTTGTAGGCAATGGAATAGGAGGATTTATTGAGAAGGGTGGCGCCAATAGTAGTGGATTTCAGGAGCTTTAACCGTAAAAGTTGAGAGTGGTGATGAGACCACCGTAGTGGTGGCCTGAACATAGACGGAGGTGACTTCGTGAAAGGCGGGTCAGTCGCAAGTGAGTCAGGTGGTGGTCCGGGTTGTTGGTTCGCCGCAGAAAAATGTGGTCGATGGTGCAGGGACGTCAATTGCAGGGGTGGTGTTGGTCATGGTGGCTTCGCGCAGCTGAGGAGTGGTGATTTTGCTAGTGGTTTTTCCGGCGGTGGTCGCTTGGTCGGAGGTGGGTTGATTAGGGGGAAAAGCCGTTTTTCTGTTGGCGAAATTAATGGTGAAGATGGGCGGAACTGGTTGTTGAAGTGGGCCGATAGCGGGGGTGTGGAGTTGTTTGTCAGCGGTGGTAATGATGGTGAAGAACCTCAAGGGTGGTGGTCGGTGGAAAAAAGTTAAAAAGGAAATTGACTGAGTCAACCTTTAGCTTGGAGAGGAAGCCAGTGATAGAATTTGTTATTAAGGGTAAATTTGTGTTTACGAGGAGTGGGGACATAGCAAAATATGATGACAGAAGTGTTGACCATGCAGAAGTTTGGTATTTGGTGGCACGTGATTTTATTTCTCCCAAATTACCCACTCTTAATTCCGTTAATGAGGTCTGGCAATTTTTTGGGCCTATCAACTTAAAGCCCAATTCTGTGCCCACTAGATATGCTTCCAACTTTCCAGCCCATGCCTTTAAAACCCACAGCTACAATTATTCAACCCTTAGGCCCATAACTCCACCAATCTATAAACCCAGATTTAGGACCCATTCTTCCATAGCTATTCACACTTCTTTAATACATGTATCAACACCCAAACCTCCCAACAGATCCTTCCATTACACCACACAAAATTTAGACCAAAGTTCCTTTTCCATTTCCCCTCCTACATCACCCAAACCCTGCTACCTCCACATGCTACAACACAATACAACACAATCTGAAGTGTGGCCTTTATTTGGACGATTCGAGTGGTGGGATGATGACCTTCAGTGCCAACGCCGGGCAATAACATCTGATTTTAAGCCACCTTGAGGACAAGGTGGAAGTTTAGGGGGGCGGTATTGTAATAGACTAACCTAGCGGGATAGTATGGGTATTCTAGTAATATTAGTTTATTAGGGTTAATAGTCCTTAGTATAAATAGAGAGGTAAGGGTAAGAAGGTAGGTAGGCAAATATTGGATGAAACTTGTTGAGAGTTGTGACCTCAAGTCACTCCTTGGAGAGTTGTGAGCTAAACTCACTTTTGAAGATTGATAGCCTTAAGCTATTATCCTATCTTTTGTAACCATTCAACCATTATCAATCAAAATCCAAGCTTTAATCTTTATTTACTTACATTATCAAATCATATTATAATTCCAGAAAGTCAGTTCATAACATATTTTGTGTGTGTAATAAAGATGAGGACAATTAGACAAATTCAGGCTGAAAGGAAGGGGGTGTTTATCAATCAAGTAGAACATACATATGAGATAGACTACCAATAAGTATGCAATTTGCATCATTGTAAAATGATTGTCAAAGTGAAAAGGAAGTGCTATAGAGCTTAGTATGGCAAAAGATAAAACGCAGAGATAAACTAACTTGTCAAGGACTAATTTGCCAAGCTTTCTCTCAATATCAGTATTAAGGTCCCCATAAGGATCAACTTCAATACCCGCCTCCTGCAAAAATATTGTCAATTGCAAATGAAATTTACGTGTAGAAACAACAAATGCAAAAAGGTTAGATCACTTAATGCAACAAGACTTTCAAAGCATAATATCAAGAAACTCATCTCAGCATTTAACATGCCCCGGATATAAATCAATGAAATCTATATGCTGCATAATGTCAGAATATTTTACAGCATATAAGCAAAGGAAGCTTAATAGGCTGCAGAAGTTTCTATAAAATTTTCCATTCATCATTGTATGCTACTTTTATAGATTTACTAAGGTAAAATGTACGATATTTCCTTACCTTCAGCATTTGAACTCCTTCTGGAAATGTCAGCTGCAATGTCTTCCTCAAATACTGCAAGTACATAAATCCCAAGTAAATGTGCAAGCACATAGTAACATGAAAGTATAAAACTATGAAGCTGTACAAAAGAAACCAAGAAGTTTAATCAATTTTCATAAACACAATGAAGTAAAACAATTAAAGGATAGAAAAACCTTCAAAGGCTGAAATGGATACTGCCTTGAAACAGCTTCAAGTTCTCCTTTGCAGTTCTCATTTAAATGGTCAAAAATGGTCACAAACAACCGGTCAATTATGTCCATAACCTGTATGATGCAACCAGAAACCTTATTTAACCTGCAAAAATGTGAGATATTTGAACCTGGACAAAGAGATCTGAAAACCCTGTTCTACCTCTGAATAATGCTCTTTGATCTCCATTTCTGCATCAAGACCCGTAAACTCACAGAGATGCCTATGAGTAAAGGAGTCCTCAGCTCTGAAAACAGGACCGATTTCATATACTCGCCTAAAATCACCATTAATCGACATTTGCTTGTGAAGCTGAGGTGACTGAGCAAGACATGCAGGCTGGCCTTTGTAGTCAAGTCTGAAAACTGCTGCACCCCCTTCACTTGTTCCTCCCATTAACTTGGGTGTATGAATTCTTCGAAAACCTTCAGATCGCAAAAATGAACTGAATATCTGCCAAAAAAAAGTATAAACTCAAAAGAGGGCCCCAACTAAGACTTCCAGGCATGGAAACAAGAAACAAAAAACAAAAATAACCAAGAAGATAATCTTCCCCATCAATATCACCAGAAGTCCAGAAGCACATCAATTGTTATTTAAATAAAATAAAATAAAAAAAAAAAAAACCAATGATTGACATTAAAGATTCACCATCTTCATACATTTACAAAACTGTTTTTGCTATGTTAAGTTATGGATAACAAGACAGCTCAACAAACTCGTTATGCAGTCTAACATGCAACATGAATGCTTCTTTCTTATAAAACCTAACAGATTTCCCAGCAAAAATACAAATTCCTCATCTCACCCCCCCCCCTCCTACCACTCGATCAGAGGATCTAAAAGACATCAGTACAAATTTGCTCTTTTCAATAGTAATAAGTTCAGAAAAGGGCCAAAGGTTAAGAGAAGATTAGATGAGGGCTACCCAAATTCAGGGCACTAAAAATACAAGTACAGCTTAGGGCCAATTTGTGCATAAAAAGCAAAAATTCAGAGTTTTTCAGTACATATACAAAAATTTTATAAGCACATATCATTATCATTTACCAAGATACTTCAATGACCAACAAAAAATAATAAAGTTAGCAGGTACTATACAATTACGACTCTATTAAACAGCTCCCCAACACTCCATATAATTTTTTTTATTTTTTTTTTTTGACGGGAACACTCCATATAAAGTAAATACTATCAATGTTAACCAATCTGAAGCAGCTAAAATCATTTCTTACAAAACCAACTTCACTTGACAGATGAAAAATGGCCTGATTAGCTGGGGTCCTTATGTCTAAGACTCGGTAATTCAACCGTGTATCTTGGTTTACTCGAACCAGTTGCTTTCCATCCTGCATACATGTAAATAAAATTGATAAGCTTTATTTTTTATTTTCTTTAATTTGTAAGCAACAAAAGTATAGTATCAGGACACCAAAAATGTGTAACCCATGTACATAGAAAACTAGGGAAAAAAAATAACGGGGTAAAATCACACTCTGACATTACCAATGCACACTGTTTCATTTACAATATAAAGCAAAGATAATTGTTGCTCATAATAAGCACCAGCTATCTGGCATCATTTGATTTTGGAGGGGGGGCAAATCAATATGAATTGTAGGCAAGAACAACAAGGGAATTAAAGTAAAACTCAGTGGTAAGAACAAGTAAAAATCACAATGTAGTTTAGTAAATGCTACAAAACTAAAAGCTTTGATTGCACTAGAAGAATGATATGATGCCTAAATAAAGAGATCAGAGAAAAGTAGGAAATTAGGGATATAAGGACACTTCAAGATGACTTTGCACCAAAATGACCTCAGTGCTAGGGCCTCAAGTCTCTTATGTGCTTCTGTAAAATTTGCAATAACACCACCTTTTTTGGATAAGGGTGGACAAGGTATCCTCTCAAGATATTTTAGTCAAATACTTTTAGCCAGGGCCTCTCAAATCTCTTATATGCTTCTGTAAAATTTGCAATAACACCACCTTTTTTGGATAAGGGTGGACAAGGTATCCTCTCAAGAAATTACTAAAATAAGTTACAGATTAAGTGATTAACCCAATTCCTTCGTATCTCCCTCATTGAATATAATCTCCCTCATTTTTCTGTTGTCAATTTTCAAAATTGTCATGATTTTAATAAGTTTGACTAATTTTTAATTCATTATATGACATATATCATATGATTTAAATAAAAAAATAAAAATAAATAAAAAAAAAACAAAAAACTGAAAACCACAATGATACCAAACAAACCCTAAGGGTGTTGATTTACAAAATTACAATATTGTATATCCTTGTCTTACCAAATTCTAAGATCATTGATTTTGAAATCCATGTTTCACAATAATAGGAATCAGTTCTAGTGTATGATTATATGGTGCTTACTTTCAGTTCTTGGCTATTTGCAGAACACCAGATACACCTAGACCTGGTGAATAGACTTGCAAAATCAAAATTAGTCACCAGCCAATCAAAGGGCAAAAACATATATTCACAGTTGACTAAATTGGTGTAACATTGTAACTGGTTTAAGGAATCAAAAACTCAAACTAACTGCTTATACACGCTATCGTCGAGCAGGAAAAGATGAAGATTGTCAAAAGATAGCCGGAAACAAAAAAACAAAATCCCTTCGTTGGTGTCTTCTACAATAATTTGCCATCATTTCCATATACACGATTTCTTAGTACACATTTTTGTATTCATAAGACTTACTCCCCTGCATTCCTAAGGTGCAACGTTCATATAATTCTAAACCAGTGACCCTGATAACTACAAGTAATAAAGAATTATGCGTCCAATTGATCTTAAAACCTGAAATACGCAGCAAATAAGTGATAAGTTACCTTCTCAGCTTTTTCAAACTCCTCCTCGCTCCTAGCCGCATCCTCGATATTGATAGGTAGTATTGCCGCAGCTCTGCTAATACAATAAATCTTCCTCACCTGAATTTCAACCTACACAATTGACACAATCAATAACCAAATTCAATTCAAATTCCACAAATCTTCTCAACAATCACAATTTCACACTTCAAAATCAAACCCTAAATCATATTACCTGTTGAGAAGTGCCTTTAAGGGCTTCACCAGGAACCGAAACGATTCCCGCAACATCAACAATCGATTCACGGCTCAATGCACTCGCAAACCTGACCATTTGCTCACTGACTTTCTCCTTCGCAACCATTAGAACACATTGAACCGTGAACAAACCTTCTCGAATGACAACGAACACCATCTTCTTCGACACGGCTCGAATCGCTTGCACTCGTCCTCTGATGAGAATCTCCTCGTCTTTGAGATCGGAGGTGAGAGATTTCACCTCGGTCCATTTACGACCGGTGACGGGCTTCGATTGGAGCTCAATGAGCGGGACATCGCCGTAGTTGTCGGCGAGAGGATCGGCGATTGAGGCTTCGGCGAGTGCTGCGGCGGCGGCTTCTGCGGCGGCTGCTGCGGCAGCTTCTTGCTTCTTCTTGAGTTTTTCAAGCTTTGCCACTTCCTTCTTAGCGGCCTTCTTGCTTTGCTCCGCCGGTTGGTTGGCGTCGTCGGCGGCGGCGGGAGGCGGTGGTGCGGAGGTTTGGTCGGAGGAGGACATTGTTTCGGGTGGAGGAAAGTGAACGATTGGAGAATTGTGTAATAATATTGTTGTGGTGAGAAAGCGTATGCAATGGTATATACAAAGAGTGTAGGGTTTTGCGGGGGAGCCCCATTCATCTATTTGATAAACATTTTTTGTTTATCTAATGGCAAATTTGTAATAAAAAGGAACAGTTTAATTGTACAGGACGTTTTTCCAAAGTGAGCCAATTTTGACAAATATTAACCAAAATGGTTGCGTGGCAAAAGTATTTACCAAACTAAGCTTGCAGGCTAAAACGCTGTCTATGCCTGGGTTTTTTTTAAAAAAAAATCAACCTAAAAACGGTGTCTGGGACAACGTCTTTGTTGTTGACCTTTTTTAAAAAAAAAATTGTAATTGCCTTTTATTTATAAAAATGTTTTTAAAAAACAAAAACAGTTATACCAAAGACGCTGTCCCAGACAGCGCTTTATGTACAAACTTCCTTGTACCTAACACGCTGTCTCAGACAGCGTCTTATTTTCAACCTAAAACGCTGTCTGGGACAGTGTTTCTCTGCTGGTGTGCAAAACAGCAGCAGAATCAGCCTTTTGCCACTGATCTGCCACTTTCTTCTGCCCCCACCCACCACCCCCTGCCATGATTCTTGCCACCACAATCCACCAACAACCCCCACCATCGACCACCATCTGCCACCACTTTTGACCTCCAACAACACTTCAACCAGCTCCACCACCAACCCCAACCATTCAACAACCGTCGATAACCACCCACCACAACCAACAACACTAAAACCACCATGAACAACCACATTAACCACCACGGGCCATCCTTTCTTCCCCATTTTCGACTATGGATTCCAAATGTCTGTTGTTTAATGTACATTAGCCCTGAAGGATCTATTTTGACTGACAAAAATCCGATTTGGATAAATAAGCAAACAAAACTTTAAAACACAAACAGATTCATTCAACCAGCATGTCTTATATTGATAATGCAATCGTTATATACAACATTCCAGGAAAAAGGACAAAACAATGATACAATACGTTCACTACTCATCAATTTGGTGTAACCCTTCCCTAGCCTCACTGTCGTCCCTTCGTCTTGGACGACGCCGAGTGTAATGGTGAATGGTGGTGAATGGGTTCCGGCGCGGGGGGGGGGGAGTGAGCTGGCTGGACGATGCGTCCTCCTGGGTTCTGAAGGGTGCAGAACTGTGGAAGATGTACTCCTCTGCCTCTGTGTGCGACGTAGGATCACCTCCACTGCTACTCTGGCCGGGGTCGAACCGCGAATCGATGGAGTGACCATCATCACCGTCCCGCTGTTGGATGAGATGACCGTGACCATGTCTGCGTAAGGAAGTCGCGGACATATCTCGCATCCGCTGGACCTGGGCTCTGGCGGGTCCTTCTGTAAGGGCGAGGGACAGTGCATCATACATCGCCACCATATCCGCCGCCTGTAGTAATCATCGATCAGTCAAGTACATGATATTTTAAAAAGTTAAAAAATGAGGATGATAAGCATAGTAAAAGAAACTCACATATCCGCTAATGACGTCATGTGCCGGGTGGTAATGGGTGGACGGTGGTGTGTAGCTGGGGTTAATGAAACGGCGTGTGATAAGCTTGTACCACACCATGTACGGAACGTCATGATCCATAACGCCCTGCATGGGATAACCCTGAACGACATGACCCAACCGCTGCTCCCATAGCTGAAGATACTGCCAATGCTCCAGTACCCAGTTTGTCTCCGTCTTTCCCCGACGGTCAATGTCGTGAAGGCGCACGACAGTGTCACAGTTCTGGGGAATAGGCTGCTGCAGTCCGAACTGTCGCATGACGCGGTCAGGTAGGTGACTCTCCACAACCTCGAAACAGATCAGGGGGACCCGGGCACGCCACTCTCCCTGATGCTCCAATAGATGTGCAGGCATGACATCTACCAACTCCGGTACATACGGATCCCATGTGATCTGCAATAACACATCCTAAATAAGTTAGTCCACAATCAGTATACACAGTACCTAAATGATTACAAATTTCTTCAGAGTTTGTACCTGATCCTCAGTGAGTCGATCAAGGGCGTTTCGGTAGTATGGGAGACCCGTCGCCGTATGTGCCTGTGTGAGTCTGGGGACCATCCACCTGGGGCAACAAATTTGGTAAGTATGTTTACAAAATGAAATCGTATATGGGAAAAAAAAAATGACAATTGTTACAAACCTGCAACCGTAAGCCTCATCAGCTGCAGGGCGAGGCGGAGCGATGTACGGCTCATACTGGTCATCCTGGTCCTGCTGCCCCGGACGATGTACAGCAGGCCTACCTGGTCTTCCTACGTGGATGTGCTCCCAAGCCCATAGCTTCAATAGCAAAACACAAAACTATGTTAAATATGACATTACTCATTGCATAATTCGCTTGTGATAATATACGTAGTATACCTGAAGCACAAACAGAGGTCCTCCAATCTCGAGCGCACCACTCCGTGAGGCTCTGCAAAGTTGGCGATACAACACCGCCAAAAAGGCACTACCCCAGCTGTATCCACGGATATGCTCCCAGTCGTGGTCTAACAGCTGTAGGTAAATAAGCTGCAAGTGGCTCCCGCTCTTGTTGCCGAACAACACGCCGGATATGAGGAAGAACAAGTACGCTCGAGCATATCTCTGTACTGTGGCGTCATCGGCGTCCGCAGGCAAGCCCTGGAAAGTATCTCGTAACCAGACCGTCCTCAAGGCGGAGCCCCTAACATCGTTGGGACCCGGCTGCACCCCGAGAACCCGCACAACCAATCCAACGGGATCGACTAGAAATGATCCCGTCACCGCAGTCCCCTGTACTGGAAGGCGCGTCAGTATTGCCACGTCCCGCAATGTCACAGTCGCCTCCCCAACTGGTAGGTGGAAGAGTGCGTCTCCTGCCTCCATCTCTCCACTAACGCCGTGACAAGGTGTCGGTCGATCTCCCTGAATCCCAAGCGATGTACACACCAAACACTAACACAATATATTGAATACTAATTTCGATTGAAAGGCATAAACAGGAAATCTCGAACATCCAACGTACAAAATAAAATTCATCGAATTGAACACAATAACACATAATGTAGAAAATTATAATTGTTTCATCAAAATAACACCACTACATACTACTATATCAAATAACACATATACACTTAGGTCCTATGTTGGTCTAGATGGACAAGTAGTGCGGTTGTGACCTTGCTGGTGACAACGGCTGCATTTGGTTGGGGGCCGGTTGCTGTCATCCATCTCATTGCGTATGCGCTTCGACTTTGGACGACCTTTTCCACGTATCATTGTGCCGTCCGGAATGAGTTTAGGGCCTACGTACTGTGCCCACTGTGCCCAGGTTGTCTCGCAGGGGATCGGCCAGAACTGTGGTGCATAGGTGTTCATGGAGGCGGCCGACTGCAACAGAGGGTCCACCCAAGGGCGTTCTGATAGTGAGTATGTAGCACAGACTGCTAGCACATGAGAACATGGGAGGTGGAATATCTTCGGTTTGTTGCACGTACACGTTCTCAACTGCCAGTTCACCGTATGCTTGTGGCCTCATTTGTTACCAACTCTCTCTCCCCTCTCTGTTGTCACTTGGTAAATATGCAATCGCCGGTTATAGGCATCCACTCTATGATATCTGGCTTTAGCGGTGTTCTTCTCGAGGATGGCAGTGACCTTTGGGGGGTATGGAAGTCCCTGATCAGACCTAGCCTCAGAAGACTCCCTTCTCAAAGTGAAATACTTGTTAACTCTGTGGAAGGTTAACTCGACAAGGGACATAATCGGTAGAAACCGAGCTCCTTTCAGCACATTGTTGAATGTCTCCGAGAAGTTAGTAGTACATATACCATACCTGCGACCACTGTCGTGAAACAGAGACCACATAGGGAACGGGACTTGAGCAATGTACTCAATGGCCTTGGGACAGGCCTCACCAATGAAACACAAATCAGCTTGAAGTTTTCTTTCTTGCCTTTGGTACGCAGCGGCCTTGAACATGTCTCTCATGTCGTTACTTCGCACGTGAGTCTTTAAGTTAGAGGCTATGTGGAGGACACAAAACCTGTGATACGCTCGGGGCTGGGTGAATCCAACATTGGGATCATTCATTGCTGCAATGATCCCAGGATGCCGATCAGAAATAACACAAAGGCCATCCCGTTGCGTGACACGATCTCGAATACAACCTAGGAACCAAGACCAGCTGGAAGTGTTTTCCCCTTCAACCACCGCAAATGCAATAGGAAATACTTGGAAGCTTGCATCAACACTCGTAGCAACCAACAGTGTTCCTTTATACTTCCCGTACAAGTGCGTCCCGTCGATACAAATAACAGGCATACAATGTTTAAAGCCATCGATACAAGGACCAAAGGCCCAAAACACTCGTTCAAACACTTCCATGTTGCTGTAGTATACACCATCCACTAAAGCTTTGTGTTTCCATACGACACATGTTCCCGGGTTCGACCGTAGGAGTGCTTGCATGAAGTGGGGAAGTCTGCCATATGAACTCTCCCAATCCCCAAATATCTCAGCTATAGCTTTCTCCTTGGCATACCACGCTCGTCGATACGGGACATCGAAATGAAATTGCTTCGAGATCAGTTCCTGTATGAATTCCACTTTCAACGAAGGATCTTTCCGCACAAAGGACTTCACATACTCGGCTATTACGGACGAATCCAAGTGTGGGTGATCATTAGATAGTACTTCACTGACACATGTCTCCCGATGCGGGCCTTTGTACGTGACTATGGTAAAACCACGTGAGTGCTCACTCGATTTGGTACCCCGTAGCATCCAACCACATTTCTTCTTGCATCGCAGATGTAGGACACCATCATTCGAGGTCACTGTGGTGTAGAATTGATTCCTCTGAATAGAATACATCTTCACCATTTCTTGAAGCAGTTTCTTGCTCTCAAAATACATTCCCTTCTCAAATTCTCCCCCGGGAACAAAAGAGGTGTGGCTACCCGATTCGGCCCAATACTGATCAACTTCATAGTTCTCGGGTACCTCACTGAACCAAGGTATGGGAGTTCTAACCAACGACTGACCATCTTCCACCTGTGTAGGTTCATCATCCCCCTCTCCGTTCTCGTCCTCATCATCCATTTCCGCATACACATCATACACCGACAATTCATTATTCACAACATCATCAAAATGATTTGGCTCTTCTCGAAATGGTGAACCATCATCACCTTGCATAGGAGAGTAGCTATGCAATTGCATCGGCGAAGATGTCACGGTGTTCGATGACGACGGAGCAGGCTGGCCGAACACTGTCACGCGTCCCCCCGCATGTACTGGTGAAGCTATATGAGAACTAAAAGGCAAGTGAAATTGGTCGTCCTGCATCATTCGAGTGAAAGAACCCATCCCATATGCATTCGATGGAATGTGGTTTGCGGGCTCTTGGAAGGACGCGGTGTTGTAATCAGAGACATATGTAGCTTGTTGTTCTGCCCGAGTACTTTGTTGGGTACATATAGGCACTGTTTCTACATATATCTCATTGGGAAAACCCTTCATTCCTACCATGCTCCTCAAACCTTTCAAATGTCTGTTCGTAGAGACAGGTAACACTTGCACCCCATGACCAGTATCACACCTCATTTTAAGGTTCAGTTCAACAGTCATAGGGTTTGAACCAATACAACTGTGAACCTCATTCATCAGATTAGTCACAGTCATGTTCGGTTCAAGTGTTATAAGGTCCATATTCCCTCCACTGTACTCCACATTTGATCCATTACACAAAATTTCACCTCCCCATCGACATAACAACGCTACATTTTGTCCAGCCATATTCTACATAACAACCAAAACACATTTTACGTAAAGCCGTTAAATCATCCCTAAATCACCACAATCAAACAAAAAAATTTTACATACTCTACAAATTAACTACTAAGAACCCCTAAATCACCATTATTACACAACAATGTAGGTAATTACAATTGTTCAAAACCTAATAATTATCAACCATTGTCAACAATTTTAAACAAAACCAACAACAACAATTCAACATTATCCAAACTATTATCAACACTAACAATATCAACACTACCATTATCAACACTAACAATTCAACAATTACCAACACTAATAATTCAACAATACCAACACTAACAATTCAACATTTTTAACACTAACAACTCAACCTCATCAACATTTTAACCCAATTCCAAAAAAATTAGAAATCACCAACATAAACCCTAGAATTTAAAACACAAAGAAAGTTGAATGAATACCTATTTCAGGGTGAGGGGAGTGTATAGTGGGCTACACGGAGGGCGACGGTGGAGGTGACGGCGGGCGACGGTGGAGGTGGCGGCGCCGACGGCGGTCTATACGGAGGAGCACAAGTATGAGAGAGGGGGGATTAAGTTAGAGTTTGGGAAAGAAGGGGTTTGAGAATGAAGGAGGAGGAAATGAAAGGATGAAATACGCTGTTGGAGGGAAAAAAAAAAACGACAGAAACGCTGTCTCAGACAGCGTTTCATTAATAACCTTAAACGCTGTCTGAGACAGCGTTTATAGTTCTAGAGTTAAACGCTGTCTGGGATAGCGTCTTTGGTATAACTGTTTTTGTTTTTTAAAAACATTTTTATAAATAAAAGGCAATTACAAATTTTTTTAAAAAAAAGGTCAACAACAAAGACGCTGTCCTAGACAGCGTTTTTAGGTTGATTTTTTTTTTAAAAAAAACCCAGGCATAAAACGCTGACCGAGACAGCGTTTTAGCCTGGAAGCTTAGTTTGGTAAATACTTTTGCCACGCAACCATTTTGGTTAATATTTGCCAAAATTGGCTCACTTTGGAAAAAGTTTCAATTGTACACATCATATTTGACTTGTTGACATATGATGCATTGTTGGTTGGATGTGTTGTGCTGGACATATGATAGTAACTCTGTTTGTTGGTTAGCTAACGATGTACCATGAAGTCATGAAGCTCCTTCTTCCTTCCTCCATTTCCATCCATCTTCTACCGACACCATTTTCACCATCTTCACTGTGTCAACCTCCACCGACCATTTTCGCCATCTTCACTGTGTCCACCTTCCATCGACACCGTCTTCCTCGTCTACACCTTCCACCATCAATATTACCGACGACACCACTATCTCCGGCGGCTTCGCCGCCAAATTAAACGAAAACCCTATGAATAAAGGGTGAAATTAAGGGTATGGTCAACCCCAAAGGGTAGGGGTGACCATGTCCTCCATTAGATTTGTCATTGAGCTTGAGATTAAATTTTTATACGGGAGATTTCAATTAAAAAAAAAAAGTTAAGTTAAAAAAATAATTAAAAAAAAAACAAATTATTACTACCCAACAATTACCGGTAATTGTTACTCCGTATTATAGGTACAAATAATCAAATTTCCATTAGTGACAGTTTAAGGATGAAATTTTGTTACACCTTAGCTTGTGAGAGGTTTCGGGCCAGGAAGGCGGTAAGCCACTTCATTTCACGGTTCTCACCTTTAATGATAAAACGAGTAATCAGTAAATCAAATATTGTAGGAGTTAATGAGAGTGAAAGATAGCTCAAGTGATTAGAGCTTGATTCGCGGTTTGAGGAGATCTTGAATCGATTCTCATTATTTGCCTTTGTGGCTCTCTAAACAACATCAACAACAAATAAACTCTTTGGGAAAATTTGTTCAAAAGGACCGCTTAAGTGATTACTTTTGTTCAGAAGGACTAATTAAGATAAAAGTTGTTTTAAAGGACCACAAAACACACTTTGGGTTATTGAGGGGGACCAAGTCCTAATTTCAAGTAAGGGTCTGTTCACATTTAATGAACTGAGCTGAACTGAACTGATTGGAGCTGAGCTAAACTGAACTGATTTGAGCTGAGCTAAACTGAACTGAATTGAGCTGAAATGAATATTTTATAAGAGAGGAAAATTAAGTACTGAACTAAACTGAAATAAAATTAAGTAAATGTGAAAAAGCCCTAAGTCAACGCCGGACTTCCATGTTGAGTCACTCTTTAGGTTGAGTCAGTTTTTTTTTTTTTTTTTTCCTTTTTTGCCATCTTTTTCACGATTTCCTCTGACATTCCCAATTTTTCCATTTCTTCTTCTTTCTTTCTCCTCTAAGCTTTGTTCATGGCATTTACTTAAGTCTGCCATTGTTGGTGAGGTCAGAGCAGCGACAATTTAACAGGCTATTAAAGGTAAGTTCTTTGAACTCTCTCTCTTCCTGTCTTTTCTTGTTTTGGAGTCCTCACCATTTTTATTCAATATTTTTTTTTCGACCTTATCAATGGCAAAAGGAAAGGAAAAGGGCAAAAAATGCACAATTTTTAACCGACTTGATATTCAGCTACACTTAGTTCTCTTCATTTTGCCCAAATTCATGTTGCTGCAAATTCAATTTTAAATAAACACAAAAACGAACAACATCAACCAAAATTGCAGAAATTCGACAAATTCGAAAAAATTTCACAATTCACAATGCTTATACATTATGTTACTTGTCCTCAATTGCATTGTGGATGTATTTGTTAGGAGAAAGAGGGCGCAATAGCACATTCCAGTCTATTTGGGGTTTATATTTTGAGGAGAGAGAAAGAAGAAATGAAAAAAAATTGGGTGCAATTGGGAATTTGGGAGAAAATCGTGAAAAAAGTGAGAAAAAAAAAAAAAGACTCAACTTAATGAGTCACATGCCTGGCACGTGACGGTCAACGCCGGAGTCCGGCGTTGACTTGCCTTTTAATTCCTAAATTCTGATTAATTGGTATTATTGGTTTATGTCTGTTAACCCAAATTATATTATTTCACACTCAAACATTTCCATCCATTAGTAGTGATTAAAATTATGCCTATAGACAAGATTGTGGAAATGTTGCCCCTTAATTGATGAAGATTAGCGTGATTGATATCTTAATTTTATTGCTCTACTAGATCTCTTATCATATTATAGTTTGTTAATTGATATTTAGGGAGGAATTTTTTTGCAACTACAGCTCCAAGTTATGGGAATCATTGAAGATGGTACTGCAAAAGGCTTTTTACCTAGTGAGGAATTGTTTGCAGTACACTACCCTGCATATCCTTCATCCATGTCGCGTGCTGTCGAAACCCTTGGTGGAATTGATGCAATTGCTAAGGTAAATTGTAGAGTTTTAAAACCAATTCAATGCAACAAATATTTAGGGTTTTAGGAATTGTTCTTTGAATTCAAGGTCAATTGATGTAATTGATAAAGGTTTAAAGGTTTATCTTTTTTTTTTCTTTCCCATACAAAGCCTAGATTAAAAAAAAAATGTCAAATTACCTGCTTTGCTTGCTTCTGAATACTGCTAAACATTTTATTTATTTATTTATTTATTTTTTTTTGGTTGTGATCAGATGAGATGCAAATCGAATAATATAGCATATAAAAGACTGGTCAAAGATTATGTTATATGACGTATCATATTTCAAATCATAGGTTATGTTTGACTTTGGTGGGCTAATATAACCGTAATTTTCATTTACTCTACCATAGTTTACTTGTTAAAATTGTGATTTTATGAAAATAATTTTATATAATAAATCTAGCAAATTCTTTCTAGGGACAATTCAATAGTAATTCTTGTTTTGCTTTAACTACCAGATTTGAGTCGGTTTATTAATACTGAAACGTTGTATCACGTAAGTAGAATCTGCAAAATTTGAGCAACTTAGTTGATGGTTACTTTTGCTTTCATTGTGTGCAGGCTCGCAGCTCCAAGTTAAACAAATTGGAGCTTCGTTTTCGTCCTGAAGACCCATGTTCACATCCTGCTTTTGGCCAGATTTATCCTTGTAATAATTTGCTGTTGAAAATATCCAAGGGGAATAGTGGGGGTATTCAAAGTAATAATTGTTGCAGCAGCCAATCCAAGGATTGCAGTTCTGAAAAATCTGAAAAGCCTAATGTTCTCTCTGCCGATATTGTTGCTAGAGTGCCAGAGGCTTATAATTTTACTGGTGAGCAAACTATAATTTATTTCTCTCTTTGAATCAATTTGTATAGTTTGATTTGAGACATTAATAGAAATTTGATGCAACGTGTAGTTAACTAGGGGGGGGGGGGTGAGGAGGGGATGGTCTTCTTACAAATGATTTTTGTATTTATTTCTTTAATAATAATGGTTAGGATTCTGAGATATCACTGAACATGAAATAAAGAATTCTCAATGTATATATGTTTGTATGTGCATTGAATACTGCATATGTATCTTCTCACTAATTCACATAGGGAAGGCATACTGAGGAATTTAATACACCAAACGCGTAGTTTTTCTTTTGAATTTGTTTTAGCAAATGTGAGCTGTCACTTGTGACTTGTCAACAAAAAAAAAAAAAAAAAATCTTGTGCTGAATTCAGTTTTTATGATTCCACACTAGACTTTCTAACTATTGATATTTTTGAACCGCATAGCTAGAAAAGCTAAGATTTGTGTCATATGATCTCTGAAGAAAAAGCTAAGCTTCCTAAATCAATTGATTTGTTTTGAAGACTTGAAATTATGTGTATAGTGCCAGACTACTGTATATATTGATTTTCAAAGAGCTATTATTTGTCTATGTTTCCAAAGAGCATGAAAGAAAAGTGAATCAAGGACTCGTAAATTTTGTCCTCAATGTACTTTTCAGTAAAAGTGAACAAGTCTTGAAATGACTCAGATGAGGTTTAAATGTTGTTGTAATGTTAAGTATTCTGTTTATTTATTTAGAATGTGGTTATGTCAGGCATTCTAAGCTATATTTAGATTACAAGATTTATTTATTCCTCGTTTCCTAGTCTTTGAAGATTCTCCTCCTCCCTTTTTTTTTGTTTCCGTGCTAGCGGTGCTACATAGGATATCAGGTTATCACTCTCTATAGAGGTTCCTACTTACCTTGTGAGTCAACATCTCTGCTTATCTAACTTCTTGCAGGAAGACTATAACTTCACATTCTCTTACTTTGGACCAATATTTTTTCTAAACAACAGAGACAGAGTTGCCTTAAGCACTGTTACATAGATCTGTTTATGATTTTTGAAGATTGATTTAACCAAAGATGTCTTTTTCATAGCATCTTTGAACTTCACTTGGTTCCACAGCCATCGATCTTAAATGTGATCAGGGTGTCTAATTAAATTAGATAGTTCAGTAAGTGCAGTCATATTTCCTGATTTTTTTTTCAAATGTAGGAATGGTGGATTATCAGCATGTCCTTGCTGTACATGCTGATGCTGCACAGAGGAAAGGAAGCTATAATGAAGTGAAGGGGCCATTTGGTAAAATTGTTTCCTTTTTGTGCAAGTATGATATTTATATTTTGTATTCAATTATTTATGTTCTCATTATTCGACATTTACTTTCACAGAAAAGGGAGATCTTGGTGATGCTGATGATGAAAATTTGATGATGCTGGTACCTCCACTGTTTTCACTGAAAGATGTTCCCGAGAATATAGTGTAAGCTATAGGTTTTGCTTCTATGAGCATTTCAACGTTGAATTAATAGGGGTGGTTGAGCAAATTGCTTGTGCTTTGTTTTTTTGCTGTGTATGTTGGCGTTGTGGAACTGTTTTTCCTAAGCTCTTATCATTATAGATTTAACTCCTGTTGTGATTTAGTGTCGTGAACTTGTGATTGTCTTTTTTTCTTTTCCCCAGTGCACCTTTTATTTTGTTTTAAACTATTTAAGATAAGTAAGGATATGCTTATAAGAAAATATTGGATAACCACCTTTGAAGTTCATGTATGAATAATCTACAATCAGAAATTTTAATGATGAAGTTTCCTTTTGATAAATATGGATAATAATGAAAAAAGGATCTATTTACTTGGTCTTTTATTTCCCAGTGCACCTTTTAATTTGTTTTGGAATTTTGAAGATAAGTTAGGATATCCTTGTTTTAATAATTGGGACAAGGTGCATGAGAGAACTTTGGATAGCTAGCTTTGATGTTCATGTATGAGTACAATCCAATCAGAAACTCTAACGATGAATTTTTCTTATAGATAATATGGTGTGCTTTGGTTTCAATAATACTAGCACACTACTATATTGTGTTGGTCATGGCTGTTTCAATCTTATTAAAACTGAACGTCTGAATATTAGGGAGAGATTCAAGACTGTTTGAACTCATTTGTTATGCCTTCTTATATACTTTTTAGGTTGAGGCCATCAATCACATTGAGTTCCAAAAAGAAACAGGAGGGAGTTGTACAACATCGGTGGGAGGTACTCTATTTTTCTTTGCTGCTCCTACTCTTTATTGATGGGATATACGACCAACCATTAGTTTGAAGTGAATATGTGAGCTATGTTTTTTTGTTTTATAGATGACTTTGGTTCTTTCTATGGAGCACAAAGTCGAGATTATCGATGTTTAGATCATTAAAGAGTCAAAAATTTCTCAAATTGAAGAGTTACATGTATATTTCATGTTCATATGCATATGTGCAATCCAATTAGGTTTCATCTTGAATGTTATAATATTGAACCATCCTTTAGACCTTAGTGTCTATCTCTATGATGGCTGGACAACCTATTATATGCTGGCAGGCGGCAGCAGCTTGTAAGTTGCATAGTATGTGGCAGTCACATTCTCAGACATCTTCATGGCATCCTTTAGTTTCTGCTTGAAGTTCTTGCAGTGACATGATTATATCAAGTTATTTGTGCGTACTTATATTTGGGGGATTATAAGCTGTAATGCTGTGTTTTAGCCATTATTGTCAATCTCATATACACAAATAGATTACTGAGTCTGCAATATGCATACAGGTTTTGGTGACATAATTGATGTAATTGACATTTTGAAAGGCTCCGAAGGGTTTTGTAGAAAGTAAAATTTATGTACCTAAATTGGGTCTCAGGTAAGAGGCGTGGTTTTAATTTATCTGTCACAGGTCGATAATTTATGATGCACACAAACTTTCTACTTACTGCAGATACTCTATTTATAAAAAGACTTTCAAACTACATTGTTGATACTTGCTAGTGACTGCTAAGAGTGCTAATATTTTGAAGTTAGGTTGTCTTGTGGGATACTTCTACATATATTAGCACTAGAAGGGGTTAGGAAAATTAAGCACTAGAAGGTTTAAAGGAAAATTTTCCTTGCTCCTTAAACATCTTATAGGTTGTAGCTGCTGGGGTCAATGGTCTCATTACATTGGGATTGCCAAAGCCTAGGCATAGTTTCCAAATCTATTGATTGATCACTATACGGTTGCTTTCGTTTTACTATGTTGTCATTCTTATGATGACTGAAATTAAACTGATTTCTGATTCTTGGCTGTAAAAATAACTGCTATTTTGGCTCATGTTTCTGGAAATACTTGGACTTAGAAACAGTTAGTCCTCCTTATGTTTGTCTGTGACTCTGTGAAGGTGGGTTACATATGCCGAATGACTGATATTCCCTTTTCCTTTTATGCAGATGGAGATTGAACCATGTCTAGCTATCGATTTCAATATCAAAGATATCCTCACTTGGAGATATATTTCTGAAAACCTTTAGTGCTTATATTCTTGTGAGGGTTTCCGAATTTATTGCATTTTCCATCTGATTGTCTGATATTCATTATGAGATTTATTTTCCTTTGTTAGAGAATACTTATAAGTTACGTCACATGTTCAAATTTTGGTATACAGTGTTTCAATTCTAACTTGAAATATCTGTACTATCTACCTATTGAAGGCACTTTATTGTGCTCTACTACAATTAAAAGTACACATTATTATCCATCTTTCCCTGTTGCTTAGTAGCACTTAACTATCATACAGATTCCTAAAAGGGTTAACTGGGAGGAATACATATCACGAGGATCAGATCAATGGAAATGGCAGATGGTTGTGTCTAAATTGTTTGATGAACGACCCATTTGGACAAGAAGCTCTATCCATGAACGCTTGTGTAAAGAGGGTCTGAAATTTGGAGACCATATGCTTAAGAGGTTTACTCTGTCATTGTTATCTTAATGCTCTTCTTTCAATGTTGATGTGGCAAAAATCTGTAGGATTATATATGTACAAAATTTCATTTGTGGCTTTTTATTCTGCTGTTTGGTGGTACAGGCTTCTTTTTCGGAGTGCATACTACTTTGGAAGTGGACCGTTCCACAGGTTCTGGATCAGAAAAGGTTATGATCCTCGCAAAGATCCTGAATCTCGCATGTAAGTTCATTTATAAATACATCTATGGTGCTAAATAGCCTAAATTACTGTCTTTATCCTATTTGCATTGTGCACTGAGAGTTGTTCTTGTTACACTCCTACTTATGTTCGAGCTGGCAGGCCATGGTGAGTCAAGTATCATAGATCAAATCAAGCAACTGCTTGATGATTTCTATTTTCCACTCATGACATATTGATAATGCTTCTAAAAACAAATTTTGCATGAAATTTTATTATTATCATAATTTTGTTATAATATCGTCAAAGTTGCCTACGTGAGTGTCTTACTTGGAAAATTTATGTTATTACATCACCTGGTAGATTTATGTATGTTGTGTTTACGAGCAGTAGCACTTTGCTTATGCAATAGAAACAATTGTGAATTTGTAATATGAGGTTCAGCTTGAAATTTTTAATTTTTTTCCGCAAATATTTTTGTACATCTTTTTACTTGAAGACAATAGGATGAAGATGTAGAATGATGATTAGTTCATTAGTTTATGTCTGAAAAAAATGCATCTTTTGGACTTATGTCCATTTAGCTTTCTTTCGGGTCACATTGGGAGGACATTCATCAATCTCTGCATTACGGTTTTACAGTTTGATTTGGGCAATGTGTACACCCCTAAATGCCCCTTTTGAGGAATGCTCTGTTTTCTTTCAGTTTCTGGAAAAAAAAAAATTCAGGAAGCAGCATTAAATTTCATGAGCCATTTCTGGATGATTGCTTGGCTTAATAACTCCTGAATTTATAAACAATTGAATAAGTCATCTTTGATGTTTTTTTCTTTTCCTTTTTTTTGGGAGATTGTTCTGTGCCTTCTGGCTTAATTGGCCACGTGAACCTTTGATGTCTCTGAGACTGCTAATTTGACTGCAAGGATCTCTTTTTCAATTTCTACATGTCATTTGAACTCTGAAGAGGTGATAGTTAACCTAAGTTAACCTTAGATGTCACTGAGACTGCTAGTTGACTGCAAGAATTTCTATTTCAATTTCAATGTGTCATTTGATCTACTGAGGGAGATAGTTAACCTTGGTTAACCTGAATTTTAATTTTACTATTGTAAACTTTGACAGATATCAAAGAATTGATTTCAGGGTTCCCCCATCTTTGAGAGGGTATTGTGATGCTGCTAGTGGGTAAGTTAGCTGTTTGATTTGATCTCTAATAATGTAGTTTAGTTTTTGTTTCAATGTGCGATTCTGATTTCTGATGACATTTTGATGATTAATGTTTAGGTTATGTTTTCTGTGGTATTTGTTCTGTTCTATTATCATAGTCGATGTAATTAATTGATTTAAAAAATAGTTACACTTGTTTCAAAAAAATAAAAATAAAAATGGTTACACTTGCACTTATTCACTTTGGATAATATGACCTCTTATTGTATTATTCTTTTCTTATAATATACTACCTCCGTTTTTTTTTTTAGTTGACATGTTTTGTTTTTAGCACTATTCACATACTCCCCTTTGACCCCCCTTTGACCGTGTTTTGTGCTTTATACGTGATGAAAAATATAGTCATATGGGATCTTGTTAGATTCGTCACAATGTTTATTTTCAAAATATCAACTTTTCATAATTTTTGCTTATCGGTAATTAAAGATATTAATGATTGAATTTGTGCATATGAAGTACTACTGGACATTATTTTCATTATCTTTTTCTTATAATATTCCACTTTTTTCTCTTTCCTGTCTTACTTTTCCAATGAAACCTTGGCTCTAAATCTTCTAATGAAATGAGAAGTGTAACCATTATTTCCAATTGAAAGCATATTAGCTATGACATCTTAATTAGATGGTTACATTTGGTTTATTAAGCAGGTATTAAGAAAAAGAAGTTGGGAGTATGTATAATGAGAATTTTTATTTTGGGAGTAGTTAAACATTTTGTTAAGTGGAAATATTTGCTTTGGGAATGGGAATAGTTGCATTGGAAGTAGGTAATACGAGGGTGTAAACACAAATTTTGAGTCTGTGAAATAGTCAAAATAAATGCAACAAATATAATTTTTATTAATATAACAAATTTGAGTACAATCTCTAATGTAATCCACTGATTCGATTTCCACGCTACGTCGTTAGATGACTTGATTTGTTGTAGTCAAAACTGGAATTCTTTGATAGAGGGTCGAAAAGGCTTGATCTCGATCAAGGTTGGTCTTCTAGAATGGAACGGCACGTCCGGTGCTTGTTATTCTTCTTCTAGTTCTTGAGATTGGTTTTTAGAGAAGTTTAGAGAGGGTTTTTGAGTAGAGAGGTTTTTTTTGTAGAGAGGTTTTTCTTTGGATTTTTCATATGTGTGAAATGAGGGGGGAGAGTTCTATTTATAGAGTTCTCCCAAGCTAGGGTTTTAAGGTAACCACTAAATGGGCCTCATATCCACTTCCACCTCCTTTCATAAATAACCCGTTGGACTTTATTAATAATTAAATGAGTCTAACTAAAACAAATAACATGGGCCAAAGTAACCCAGATTAATTATTTAGTCAATATACCCGAGTCAACAATTTGACTTTGACCCAAACAATAAATAACGACACTTGATAAAATATCCGTGCCTACAGAGGGTAAGTGTGTGAAAATATGGTGGTAAATGCGTAAAATAAGTATTTTATTTTATGAAAGTTCAGAAATGTAACCATAGAAAGGATACACCCAAAATAGAATACGTAACCATAGGAAAGTGAGGGAGTAGTAAAAATAAAGTGCTTCAAAAAGTTGAAAATTAAATCAATTTTAATTTTTTTGAAAAGTTTACAGGTCAGCAATTGACCTACCGTAAAGTTGTATTATTTGAAAAGTAGTATTAGTAAAAATAAAGTGCTCAAATATCCATAGTTAACTGATTTTTGTTTATCTTGTAAACATTTGTTTTACAGAAAGAAGCATAACTGGGAGGATTTGTGCGCATTTCGGGTTTTTCCGTACAAATGTCAGACTTATTTTCAACTTTCTGAACTTGCCGATGATTACATTCAAAATGAGATACGAAAGCCTCCAAACCACACTGTTTGCACTGTTAGTCCGTTCTCTTATCTCTCCTTTTTTTTTTTTTTTTTTTTTTTTTTTTTTTTTTTTGTGACAAATATTTAATTACATTACTTCCTAGTTCATCTATATAACTGCCAGGCTTCCAGCTGCTCAGCATTGGTTAACAATATCCTTCATTGCAATGCTTTCTAAGACTATAACTTCGGTGTTGTCTGCGTAATTGCTGTCTCTAATCTTGGCATAAAGCTGAAGCATATATTTGAAACTGCCATGTTTATGCGGTATCAGGTTTATCATTATGCATTACCATGTGAGCTTTTGGAGCCACCTGAACGGATTTATTAGGATGAACTTAATTTATACAGTTATAGCACAAATAGCTAAAGAAATCAGTTTATAGAGGATTTACTATTTTACTTTGTAATTTCTCATTAGCTTCCAGCACCCTTGCCTTGTCATTAGTTCATAATCTTTGTGATTCCTTCATTTTCTTAAATGAATACTACTTTAGATGCCATATATCTATCATATGTTTATTATACAGGATCATTTCATTTCATCTTATCTTTTTTTTTTCAATGCTATGCAGTGTTCAACGGGATGGTACACATCATATGTTCTTGATAGTTTAAGATTAGGTGTTGCAGTGAGGTTTTTATCAGTGTATCCTCTAGACGGTGCTGAATCTTTGCTGAAACGTGTTTCTGAAAAATTTGAGAAGTCAAAAAAGATGCGCTACCAAGTAAACAATCTCAAGCCCGGAGAAGAGGGTGAATTGCAAGCTAATCCAGGTTTATTTTTTATCACTTCTTCAGCACTCAGTAGGTTTATTGTTGATTAGCTTTCTTTTAATTACCAACTTACTCCCTCTATAATTATAGCGATACTTTGCTTTTATCAGTAGTAAATGTTTGCACTTTACAACTAGTTGTCGCATCTCAGCCTTCTCGGGCTATTTCCTTTGTAGTTTCGCCCATTGCTTGCTTGTCAGATATTGACTAATCTTGTCATAGCAGAGCTGACAGGTGATGAAGATAAAGGAGATGATGACGATGACGATGATGATGAAGACAATGAGATTGAGGATGAAGATGGTGAAGAGGAATTGGACATAAATGACACTGTATACCTGGTGAGATTCATACACTTAGTGGTTTTGGTCCAGATTTTTCCTCAACTACAGGCCACGGTTGGGTTAGATGATGTTAATATGCTACGAGTAGATATCTGATTAGTATATATCCCCTTTCTAACGACGTGTGTTTTGTTCTTATGTAGGATGGAGACGATGCTGATTTCACCCTGCAGTCTGATTCCTGTATCCACCAATTGTGCTATTTTTTGTAATAATACTTGTAAACCTAGTTGTGGCCATGCCTTGCAGAAGTGAAGCTGTGCCGATTCTGTCTCTTACAATACAATGTCTTTAATTCTTTATTGTTGTATGTAGCTTTTTCCCCTTTAAGATACATGTTCAACACCAATTGTATCTCCTTTACATAGTTCAGATTTGGGTGCAGAGAACATATCAAGAAATTACCTGCAGGAACTATTTGAAAGCTTTCCATCTACAGGAGCTTCTAATCAGCAGTTGGATGGTGCAGATGTCGGGGAATATCAGATATATGAACAAGACAGTGATGGCAACTACTCTGATGACTATTAAGGTTTGTATCTGCATAAATATTCTTATGCTACAGCCTATGATTCGATTTTTTAAACCTGAAATTCACATTTGTATGATTGTATCTGCTCTCCATGAACAGTGCAGGGAGAGATGAGGACTGAAGTCGAAAAAGTGTCATTCATCTGCTTGCTAAAATGACAGCTTCAAATATGCAAATTTGATTCTGTTTGCACCGGGCCTCTTAAGGTTCACTGCATTGCTAACCTCCAGCCTTCCACGTTTGGTGAATAAATAACTAAATAAGGTTTGAGAAGGGCTGTAGGAAATTTTAGATAGAAGTAAAAAGGGCATTTGTGTAGCCGATCCCACTTATGGGATTAAAGTTTTTATTGATTGATTTAAAAAGGACATTTGTAGTTACACTTTTGAGTTTTGACTAATGAGTTATTCTAGCATTTTTGGCAATTTTTTTCCCTGTTGGTTCTGTCTTGGCTGTCTTTTTAATGATTACATGGTTACACACTTACACCCAGTCTCACCGGGTAATTTCCGTTTTCTTTTGTCCGTATTGGCTGGTATACAACTTTGAACAGTCAATTTTTTCATTAATAAAATACTAAGGATAAAATTGATTGTGGGAAGAATTGGTTTCAGCTATCTTTATTTGGAAAATATTGAAATAAACTCGTCAACATCTAACTTACTACTCAACGTTTTCACAAGTTCAGCCAAAAAAAAAATAATAATATATATATAAATATATATAAATTGTTGTTAATTTTGAGGAGTTGGATTTCAAATGATGGGTTTTTAGATTGAATTTTAAACTAGATTAGTCTCGTGCGATACACGATTTAAACAAATAAAATATTCTAAATTTGTTTATTTTCTTACATCAATTTTTTTTTAAAAAAAAATCCCAAAATTAATAATACATCCATTAAATATTTTTTTAAAAACATATAGAGTTTATAGAAAAATTAAATGATGAAATACGATAATAATAATAATAATAATAATAAATATAGCTAATTTAAATTTTAATTAAATAAAATAAAATTTATAAAATAATGACATTATGTATAATTTTGGAGGGAAAAAAATTTAATAAAAACTTGACATGTGTCTAGGATGATTTCAGCGGTTGTTATTTTAGTATTATTTAGTTATTGGTCCAGGCAATGCCCTGGGTCATTATAAATTTATTACTTTAAGAGGTTTTTTTTTTTTATTTTTTTTTTAGATAGCTTAAGTAGTTAGTTGTTTGTATGAGGTGGTTTGACTTTCCATATAGGGTAAATGATAAATCAATCCAATGTGGAAAAAAAAAATGTAATTGATAAACCAAATATGTATAAATGTCAATATATATACTACGACTACTCCATAATGCACCCTAAAAAATTACTCTATAATTACAATTGTAATATATATAAATCAAAACTTTTACTCTATAATTACAATCTTATGAATTAATGCATAAATATATAGAGTAATGTTTAGTTTCTTACAAATTTTATTATTATGCAATTATTAAGGAGTTACATTCCAAGCTAGGGAAATTTAAATAGAGTGTTATGTATATGAAGTGTTTTTCAATTAAACAAAACAATAATATATATATATATATATATATATATATATATATATATATATATATATATATATATATATATATATATATATTGAGTTTTCAATCATTAATGAATTTGTATGATATGGCGTCACAAAATTGGTGACACATGGCAAAATTGGTGACACATGGCAAAATAGCATGTCTTGCCATAGTTCTAAAGCGGTTGTTATTTTAGTATTAACTAGCCTTCTGGCCCGTGCAATGCACGGATTGTTTATAGGTATTTAATATGATTTTTAATTTTATAATACTCGTATATTTTTTTATTGGAAAATTAATAGTTATAAAGAAGAATAAGGGGTGAAAATTGAATGTAATTGTAGAAAATATTAAGTTGGGGGAAAGTGAACAAAAGATTCATTCATGTATTGAATTAAAGCTAGTGTATTTTTTTTAATATAAGAAAGATTAAATGAAATGACATGTGGCATCGGTGAAAAATTTAATTTACATGTGGCATCATGAGGATGATGGTTTGTATTTTTAAATACTAAGTATAGATATAGATTATAAATGGACTAATGTTTTAATTGGGTTGGAATTGGGCCAATTCTAAAACCAAATGTTCGGATTACCCAAACATGAAAATTTGGCCAAATCTAGCATTTCAAATGACATACTTTAAACCAAATAGGCCATGAAGTATTTCGAAACATGCATTGAAATGATACATTATGTATATTTATCTTTATATGATTACAAAGATAAATTAAAGTGATTTACTTCCATTTTTTTTACTCTGTAAATCAAAATTAATCAGTGAGGAGAACTGATACTCCAAGTAGTTTCTTAAAAAGGAAAGTGCAATATCAATTCCAACACCGTTGCAAAGAATCAGTCCTAAGGCAATAGCAGCATCGTGGCCTGGTGGACGCCCAAGGGCTGCCACCACCAACCAACAACAAATTTCTTTTCTTACAGGGCTTTACTTTGAATATGATTCTCATTGAACACTCATTTTAGCGCGTTATCTAGTGCACACTTGTACATAGAATCATCAAAATAAAGTTTAAAACTTACCTTGTTGAATATTCTAATGCTGGAGATAATACAAATTTGAATAATTAATAAAACTGAAAATCATTGACAAATGCTGAGATGATACAAATTTGAATAATTAATACTAATGATTGGTTTGCAAAATGTACAAAATATAAAAAATAAATCAGCAACTACAAATCTACAATAATATGTAGACAAGGAGCAAATGGGTTCCTTTGAATAGAACAATCTGCAAGAAAAAATTCAATTGGTTTGTATAATCTTCTATTCTAGAATGCTAAACAACCATTTCTCTCCTAGAAATTGGTCCACCGGCATAGCGAGAACTGTTTAACTGATTTTCTATTCATAAGAATCTCTCTTTTCACCTTCCAAAATAATATATGAACAAACAAAAGAAAGTTTGCTATCTCTGATTTTACTCAATCTAAATAAAAAAGAGTTACAATCTTTCTGAGGTTCTTCGCTTCTTGACATGTTTCCATGAGTAATTTGCTGTCATGGAATGCAAAACAAATAACCTGCTGAACTTGTGAAATGATGTCCATGTTGCATAACCTACAATTTTATAAAAGTTATTCCAAATTACACAATCATGGTTCATTGGTTCTACCTTCATCATAATATGAAAATTGGAAACATAACAATATAACATATAATTTTAAAGGACAAAATTGTTTAACTAGTACATTTGTTTTTATTAAGGAATATTTCTCCCCCTAGTTGACGATATAGTAAAAACACATGGTTATAATGTTGACAATAATGTCAAATGTTAACACATTTATGGAAAGATTTGCATTAGTTTAATCAACATCAATCTAAAGGACGTTAATGTGAACTGTCAAGTATATGACTATATGAGAGGTCTTTATACCTGCTGGCTTCTAACAAAGGTAAGTGATCATTGTATGGCTTCTCAATGACATTCTTTACCTGTAAAAGGATAGGCTTCAGCGACACTAACTATGGTGAACAAAAAATCCAACGAAATTAGAAGCAGAAAAAGGAATTCCAATTACATTTTGTATACAATACAGCAAAAGCCAAATCATGCAAAACAAAGATGTACTCAAAGATAAGTAGTTGTGTTTCAAAAAGAAAGATAAGTAGTTGAGTTTAAAACAAAATTATCCTTTTATCAAAATAACCTTTGCAACATTTGCGAAATAGCTGTCACTGAAATCCTAAAATCACTCATAATGGAGGGTCTCTATCACATCATTCATGAGTTGTGACATGCAAACCTACATAATTAGATAGGAATGGGAGGAAGGAATTAAGAAGAAATGGGAAGAGATGAGATAATTTGTATGACAAGGAAGAGTGGAAGTTCATAGACGAATTCCAAGACACTTGCAAGAAGTACATTAGCTTTTCCATACTAAGGCCCTATTCACTTCATCTTATAAAAATTAATTTCAGTTCACAAAAATAATTTCAGTTTAGTAAATATAATATCAGTTTACTAAAAATAAGTTCACTTCAGTAAAAATAATTTCAGTTCAGCAAAAATAATTTAAGTTCAGTAAAAATAATTTAAGTTCAGCAAAAATAATTTCAATTCAATAAAAATAATTTTAGTTCAGCAAAAATAAGGTGATTTAAACAGGGCCTAAGTCCACTACAACTTAGTTATCATATTATAGGAAACTTTAAATATGTTCAACACAGTGGATGTAAACCATACAAATACTTGCCACAAGAAAAATAATTTAGAAAGAAAGGGCTGAGAAAGAAGATTGCTACCAATAACAATATTCCCAAAATGTTGAAGGTGACTTTTTCACGTACATTAAAAGTTACATACATGTAATGTATCTTTTTCAAAGTAATAATTAGTCTATTTATAATTAAAAATATATGTATTAACATCCAACAACAAAATCTACCCACAAATAATGTCACATAAAACACCTCCCTCATTTCCCTGCTGCCCCCCTTCCATCCACACACACACACACAAAATAGGGACAACAACAAACAAAAGGAGGTAATAACATGTTATGCATCGACAATCCCTATTGCAAAGAATTAAATTCTTACTTTAGCCAACAACTCCTGGCTTTCTGGAGGCTGCTTTGCCAAACTTTGAGGTAGAATTACAGTAAGCAGTTCTGGTGTCTCGGCTCTTAGAGCCCCTCTAATGACAGCGGCATTAGTGCCTGAGGCACCAGAAGTATATATGTGGTTTTTCTGCATAAACAGAATTCGCTCATGATTGAGTGAAAAGAACTATGAGCAGCCAAATAAAATGCAGAAATTAAGTAGACATACTGTGATAACCATAGCATAGCTAAGTATCTCAATTAGCTCTTGATGCATGAAGCCCATATTTCTGGTTCCAAAAAATCCAATTGATCTTGGCCCTTGCTGCTGAATAGCTAACAGCTCCTGCAAAATATTTGGCAAAGATGAATTTCTCAAAACAACGAATCACTAATATAGGCATCAGTGTATAACACAAAGGGAATGCCATTCAAGAGAAGTAATGGGATGTTATTAGAATGGTTCTAATAACAAGCTCAAATGCTTAAGCAGGGATCAAGCAAAAGAAGATTGCAATGAAAGAATTGGACCTGTATATAATCAACATCGCGAGCAGGTTTGAACTCAGACATCATTACTGTGCTTGACCCCTCCACAATAGACTGTGCTTGCGTTGGTATTTTAGTGCCAGACTCTTCATCAGAACCAAACATGTCAATGACGTTTTCAATTCCAGTCCTTCCTTTGTCCATGTTCTCCGGATTCCTCATATTTGCACCAATCTACTATACCATAAAAACAGTCCCTGGTAGTAAATCATTAGTGAAAACCAAATGTCCACAATTTAAGATGATAAATGATCTCAAGCTGACATGAACTTGACTGACAAGGATTAAGACATATGTGTCTCCAACTCTCCATTAATTTACTTAAAGCATGAGTGCATGACATACAAGTCATGTTCCACAAAATGAGTAATTTTAAGTAATACAATCATGCATGTGACCAAGAGCTAGACTTGTCTATTATAAAAAGGTCCCAAATGAAATGTCAAGTGTCTATCCAAGTTCAATTATCGAGAATCCAACATGGGTATTTAAGGTGTAATGAAGAGTTTAGAGTAACATAACCAAAAAAAACCTCTATAAAACCATGCATATATATGGAATTCCAGAAATACAAGATCTTTCATTAAAACAATGCCTAATATAAGGTGATATTTTATTTAAACATAGATCTTTCATTAAGTCATGATCAATGGCTAAAGACAAGAGAAGCCATAGAGAATTGCATTACTATCTCTAGTCAGTTATCTTTTATGTGTTTGAGAACTCTTTAATTATTTCTGAAATACAAAGTGACAATGTTATGGAGTCCTCACAGAAGAAGTTATAAATGTATAGAAAGTCACCAAAGAAAATGTCCCAACCTTAAAGATTTTAAAACTAACAAATTCACTAGATGCAGTAATTCTTTTGGCTATTGCAACTACGACCTCATACTCTCATAGACTCATATAGATATCACCACTCAAAGCTACCATCTGAGATCCATACCCAATAGAGGATATGTTGCTTAAAAGCCATCATGTAGGCAACCAAATTGACCAACAATTGTCATCTAAACAAAGAACATGGTCCATAATATTTGGTTTTTTTTTTTTTTTTTTTTTTTTTTTTTTTTTTTTTTGTTTTTTTGTGGGGGGGGGGGGGGGTGTGGAGCAACTTAAATTTGCACTGAGCATACATTGCATTCCACAGTTCAAAACTAAGGCAGAAAAATACAAAGAGGTATTGGTTATGCATTTACTGCATCCAAGGAAGTATGCAGGAAATTTCTGATTATCAAATGGAAGAAGAATAAGAAATTTGTATAATATAAGCACCATTAATGCTTGAGCAACACAAATTAACATCCAATCTTTATTTAACACAGTACAAAAATATAAATAAATATATTGTAATGAGTAGGATTAGAAGTTAGATTCATCAAATAACCTACAAACAGCATAAAAAGATAGCTCTAAAGAACATAAACCCAAAACATTAGTTGGGTACATGAAACAGCACAAATGTAAATAGCTAATGTGTAGGTTTTTTTTAGTATATGTATCTTGAACAAAAGCATGTGTGATAAGCTTCACCTGCAATAATTCTACTCTATTACTTCACCTCAAATTCAGCCAAACTAATACAGAGTTGCATTAAAAAAACCACTTGAACATCAATATGATCTCATTACTCGTCAGGCATTACTCTCAACAATTCTATCTTCCCCTTTTTCATTTACAATTTTTCAGATTCTTCCACCAAAGTAGTACTTGATGAAAGTAAACAAGGACTCGAACTTGTTTAATATTTTACCAAAATAACACATTTTAGAAAGCTATTTCCCACAATGACTAATCCACAAATTTCATTCTCAAATACAACCGTAACAAACCCACATATTCCTAATGAGTCATCAACTTGCCATGACTCACCCCCTGCACTGCTTATTTTTATTTTAACAATAATTTCAATTTTCAAGAGTTTCCGGTAGTCTTTGACGGTATTTTTCTTCCATAACTCCAACTATCGACAATGAAATCGAAGATTAAAGCTCTATAGATATTTGGCAATATTCCACCTCCTTGATGCGAGAATATTGGAGAAATAAATGCCACAAATGACTTTCCAATTTTTCATTCTTGTTAATCCTACGGTTATCATTGAAATAAAAAGGTTTAAGGGAGGTTTTGGACAACTTCGGTGCAATCCGGATGCCAAGATCTAGTACATTTCCAGTTGATGGCTTCAATTATAAACAATAAAACCAGTATTACAGATCCAACTTGATAATCACTCAATTCATTAACTCCGGCATATTCAAGATATGCGCCTCCATCTGCTAGTCATGAAGGTCCTTAGCATTTGAGTAATTCAAAATATTCCTCTCTGTAAAAACACCCATGAAACCAGTCCAACCAAGAGAAGGTGGAGCCTTGGTGGTGGTTATGATGGTGCGTCAAAGCAGCAAAGTGCAAGAGGGGAGATGACTGGAAGGTAATGAAACTAATGACATAATTAATGATGGTATTCTTTTTTACAAAATTTAAAATATGATAGGCCCTTGTTTAGGTAATATTGAGATTTTAAATTGCAAGTTATCCAAACTTTACTAATTTGGTAAAAGTCCCGGTTAGTCGGTTACTAAAATATCCATCCGCCATCAGACATTCTTGATCCATCCTTCACAGTAAGAGAAGGGTGAAACACTGAAACATCATAAAAAGCACACCCAAACTAAATTACTAAACTAATCACACACAATCACAATGGACCTTTGATCCCAAAAGCAATGGTAATGATCAACCTCACTGAATTTCCCTCATTGAATTTCATGAATGTGGCCATGTGGGTTGATTTTCTAGCTACATATCAGAAAACTGAACACGAGTGAAAGAATTCGACGCAAACAAATCCGTTAACTCCTACATTAATGAACCACATGATGCCAAGTGCATACATAACTACATAAGTAACCACACATCTATAAAACAACACCAGTGGACGAAGATCAAACTGATACAGGAGATCTATTCAGAATAGTCACTCACAAATTGTAGTTTAGCACAGCAGCATTACCCGAACACTAGACGGATTCAAATTCAGCTTATATAATTCAACAAAAAGCAAGCATTGTCCATAATTTTATTATACAAACAAACATTTATACACTCCATCAAGCCCACTATTTAAATTTTTTTTTAGTTAATTTTCAAAAACAACAAAACCTAGTTCAAATCCAATTAAATCCATGTCTCTTATCCAAATACACAGCAAAATAAATTATTTAAAAAAAAAAAAAAAACCCAATTCCCAATTCCTAAATTCCCATTACCCCTTTTCAAGGAAAATTTCAGAAACAAAAACAAAACAAACAAAACTCATAATTCTAATTAACATCTTAAGCAATAAAAACTGGAGAAAACTAAGAGAAAAAGAAATTACCCCAAAACTGAAAGAAGATCTCTTTGGCACAAACCATTTTCGGTGAAATGAAGAAGAAGATGAAGAAGATGATGGAGAAGTAGAACAGAGGCTCCAATTAGAGCTTGAAGAAGGTTTAAAGGGTGGTGAAGATGGTGACAGAGACAACAACAGCCGCAATGAGGTGGTGGTTGACATGTTTTCCGAGTGTTTTTTGGGGTTTATTTATTTTAATAACACAATTTCTCAAATTCTGAAAAAAATAAATAAATTGTGAATTTGATTTTCTTGGGTTTTTGGATACTTTTAATGATGCCAAATTCCAACCCCACTTAAATTTTTGTGTGCGAGTTTGTGTTGTATGATGAGGAAAGAAAGATGGCGAATCAAGAAACGAGAAAGATAAATATGCTCCTATGATAAACCCAAAAAGGTGGAAGAAAAGGTGAAATAAGGGTATCTTTGAAATACTATATTATTTTTTGTTGAATTTCTTTATTGTTCTTACCTTGATGAGCGTCAAATTCTTAATTTTTTTTTTTTGAAACAAATCAATTTATTAATAAAAAGTCATTCGGCATCTACAAATGAAATTTAAATTAACAAATACATAAAATTGAATCAAATTAGGTTTTCCTTCATCAGAGCTACGGTCGTTGAAAAGATCTTGCACTATGGTACATCTCTCGCACACATCGCTGGAATTTACAGCCTTTTCGGAGAGACGGTCTAACGATTTGTTGTAGCCGTAAGGATGATTCTCATCTGATTCGCCTGAACGCATTTGAAAATTTGACAACCGTTGCGATCCCAAACAAATCTTTACCAAAGAACTGACAATAGGGCAAAAGATAATTACTTTTTTGATGAACCCTAACACACAAACAAACCCTAAACAAAAACAAACAACTAAACTAACGAAAACTAATGACTCCACCATAGGGAGACAGACGAATATCTACACTACTTGTGTAGATTTATTGAAATTCAAATTGCAAAACTAAATAAAATTAAAGGAAAAGGTCGGAAATAGTCTAATTTCTTCCTAGAAGAGAGGAGGAGAGGAGAGCGTCAAATTCTTAAATTAATTCTTCCAGTGTAACTAATTTCCTCAAAAAAAAAAATGGTTTAACTAAAAAAGTATCACAATTTTTTTTATTTAAGTTAAAAGTTTCTTCCCTTTTATGTCAAATTGTCAAGATAGGTAATTGTAATACGTTGAAATAGGAAAAATTACGGAATTGATGAGATTCAAATATGTTAAAATACGAAAAATTACGGAATTTTAAGGTAATAAGAATCAAACAAATGCAATTTTATGACTATATCACTACTCTTTCGTTTCTAGCTCTTCCTGCATTAATATAACAGAATTACCGAGTATTATTTTATAGCAAAGTGTGATTTTTCCTTGTTATGAAGTTACTAACTTTCAAGGTTAGCTTCTTCTTTGAAGTTTGAACTAGAGGTTCATTAATTTAGTTTGATCATTTTCAGAATTTGTTAATTTGATATACTAGGATTATACGCATGTTATACTCAGCTTAGGACATGATCCTTTTCAATAAAAATAATTCATGATGAAGAAAGACATCATCCAATTATTAGTATAATTTTTTCTTTAAAACAATTAGTTTTACTAAATTAGTATATTTGTGGATTTTGTTACGCCTAGTGCATTTGACTTGAATTTGACAAATTTGCTTCAAATGAATCATGAATTGCACAGTAAAAAAAATGATTTACACCTCTTTAGCTCTTTCCATGAATGGATCATTTAAATTTTGTGCTTTTATAGAAGAGCTAGCATCGTTTTGAAGAGTGAAGTCAATTTTCCTTAGCGCATGGTTTCTTTAGTTTATTTTTTGATAGATTTCCTTCATATTTTGGAAATAGTAAGAAATCCAAAGCTAAGAAATGCTACCAAGCATGGCTTCATTTATACGTTAACATGTTATCTATATCCCTTCATAATTTGTAGCAAGATTCTGGGGGATTCCAAAGGGAGGTTAGTTATGTATATGCTCATACATAACAAGTGGTCCCCTTTTATTATTATTATTTTTTTAAATCGTTAAGATATTGTGAAATGTAGAAAAATCCCAGTGCTCTTGCCTCAGTTGGATTTCTAACAGTCACCTGACGATTTAGTATGTGATCTTTGCAACACCTTACTTCCCCAAATATTATCAAGTAATGCGGGGGACTAACTTTTCCTTCTTTAACTTCGATATTAGCACATTGTACCTTTACTCTTAACTGAAATTCGTCTTTTTTGTCATCACAATATTTTCGAACCTTGTTGAATGCGTAATGCTGTAACTTTGTAAGTCTTGGAAAGAAAGAGTCATTAGGAGTAGGGAATTCATAGAAATCATGTACCATTCCATAATCCCAAGCCTTGTAATGTATACTAATGAATGGGGCATTTTTATTAAGAGGATATAGGTAGATTCGCAATGATGCAACTTTAGAGTTTTTGGGAAACTCTATTCTTTCTCCCCATAGATCTCGAAGATCAAAGAATTTACTGGACCTTGTAACCACCAACTCGTACCATGTCCTAAAATCGTTATCTCTTATTTTGTTTAATATTGTATTTCGTACATCTGGAATGAGCTGAAATAACATAATTGTTATTTCGAACATCAATAACCTTTGGACTGCCCGATGGAAACCCTTAATTAAACCATCTCGCGAACGTTGTTTTGCTGATATGATCAAGCCTTGCATTAAGGCCCAACTGGAGGGTGAAACCCGCTCCATTGCCTTTTCGGTCTCATCAATGAGATTTTTCCTCTCTACATCCATCTTTTGAAGTTGGTATGCAAGAGGTTTTTGTGTGGTCTTGAGCTTCTTGGACGACATTAGCTAATTCTCTGGTCAAGCTGTCTGCCAAAGAATTCTTTGTTCCTTGTATATGTTCAACAGTAAAAGAGAATTCCCTGTATATGTTCAACAGTAAAAGAGAATTGGTTAAGCCATAATTGCCAACGCAGGAGTCTCCCTTGCGCTTGCATATTAGACAAATTCTTTTTAACAAAACCGAGTATGCCTTTGCAATCTATTCTTATTAAGAACTGTTTAGGGGCTAAGAAGATTAAAAACTTCTCGATCCCTCTAATAACTGCAAGGATTTCCTTTTGCATTGTAGGATAGTTTAACTCAGCTTTGTTAAAACTTCCACTGCTATATCTGCAAAGTCTTTCTCCTTCTTTTATTTTTAACACAGCACTCCAGTGCTCATTACTATAATCTGTTTCAAGGATTAAATCATCTTCTCTAATAGGTAGTGTTAGTACAGGAAGATCTTTACACATAGCTTTTAAATCTTGAACAATTTTGGAATCACTTTCCTTCCAGTTCCAAGTTATTTCTTTCTTGAGTTTTTGTTGTAATGTCTTTCTTAATAAAGCAAGATTTTCTATAAAATCATAAGCATAGGTTAAACATCCTAGAAATCTTTCTAGCTGTTTTCTATCTTCAATTTTATCGGGAAATTTTTCAATTTTTTCTAGAATATGTTTTTGCAGTATAATTTGTCCTGCTTTAATTTCTAATCCTAGGAACTCAATTTCTTGTTAAGCATAAACACATTTATCTTTTTCAAGGATTATAACATGCTCTGCACATTTTTAAGTTACTGCTTTAAGATCATTCTTATGTTGTTCTAAATCTTTTGAGAATATTAGAATATCATCTATATAGACCAAACAACAATGATTAAGTTCTCTAAAAATATTATCCATTCTTCTCTGAAATATCCGTGGAGCATTTTTTAATCCAAAAGGCATTACTAGCCATTCATAATGCCCTTGAGGGGCACTAAATGCAGTTAATGGAATGCTTTCTTCTTCCATTTTAATTTGCTAGTAGCCACTTTTACAATCCATTTTAGAAAACCATGTGGCTCCTTGTATTCTATTAAATAACACAGTTTTATTAGGAATATAATAGCCATGAAAAAAGTATTATCATTTAGTTGTTTATAATTAATAAACATTCTAGCTTTACCTCTTTTTTCTTCTGCATGATTTCTTACCATGAATGCTGGACTATTATGAGGGCTTTTGCTATTCTTAATTAGCTTTTTATTAAGCAATTCTTTTATTTGTTCATCAAACTCCTGAACATCTTGGTAAGTATAAACCATTTGTCTCACTCTAATAATCTTATTAGGATTTGTTAGAGTTATCTTAGCAAATGCTTTATCCTTTTCCCAATGTTCTAAAGGATTTGTTGAATATAATTTTTCGCATAGTTTTTATTGTTGCTTATTTATCTGATATATTAATGATGCATCACTGTAGACACCCATTTGTGTCTCCCCAAAACCAAACCCAGTGATGAGTACCTTTCACGTCGAATCATAATCGAATGAAGTGAAAGTGTGGAAAGTTTAAGTGTTGCGGAAAGTTTTAATTTCTTTTCTCTTCTCTCTGTTTTTGAAAACCTATTTTAAGAAAAAAGCCAATCCAATTTGGTTGGTCCATGATATGGGTCCAATAGTAGTGTAGTTGGATAGGGTTTGAAAAGAGTTTTCCAACGATATATTATAAGCCCAATTCCGATGAATATTGAGGAAGTTATGGCCAAATTACTGAACTGGGCCCGGTTTGAACCTTATATGCGGCCCAATGATCTAGAGGAGGGCCTAATATAGATTTATCATTCCTAATGCAATTAGGAATGGTTTTAGTCTTCTAGATTCTTCTAGAAGGTTCTTTTCATTCCTAATTCAATTAGCATTGATAAATTGACTTTTGTTGACTTTTCAGAGTTTAAATTAAAATTAAAGAACATTTTTGAGGAAAAATACGATTTTATCCTCCTGTATGGCAATTTCTATCCGATTTTAAGAAAACGCGTGAATTTCTAAGTCAACGCCAAACGCCAGCTGTAGCGCCTGGCGCCAAGGTCAGCGTTTGGCGCCAACTTAGTTTTTTGCGTCAGAACTCTCTTTTTGATGTTTTATCTTTTTGGATGATTTTCTCTATAAATAACATGTTAAAAACTCCGTTTTTATTCACCAACTCTCAATAAGATTCTCTTGATTACTCTCTCTCTCCCTCTCCCTCTCTTTTCTAAACTAGCCTTCTCACAAATATAAAAATTCCGCATTCATTAGATTTAGATACACCTAGCCAAATTCGAAGTTGCCTTCGCCCTAGACATGAAAGGTTTAATTTCTGAGGGTTTGGTCCCAAATCTCTCTTTCAATTATTTAATTTAATTCTTTGATTTTATTATTTTCCTTCAAGTTACTAACGTGTGTATTTTGTTATTAGAAAGAGGTACGAGGCATCAAGGTAAGTATTTTAATGGTTTTTATTGATATTATTGATGTGTCTATTTTATATAGTATTTTACCCCCGTCCCTTGGTCATAATTAGTAGTGTTTTTGGCTCTTTAGAGCAACTTTTATTACTAATTGGTGTTTTCTAGTGTTTTCGTAGATTTGGTTGACTTTTGTAGGGATTTATGCTTTTGGAGTATTTTCCTGAGACATTTTGGAGCAATCACGAGCATTGGAGAAATACGACCAGATTTTATAGCCCAG